ACTAATGCGTTCTTAGAGTTTACAGTTACAAAAACTATCCCCTCTTAAATCAGGTAAGACCTGAACTTACCAGACAGGTAGCCAACACTTTAGTCAGACCAAAGTGTTTTTGATTTGAACACCTACATGCTTTTCTGCCTCAGACTAAACCTCTTGGAATTTCCAAAAGCTTTAGACTTATGGCGCACTTGGTTCATCTGTCTAAATCCAGAGTAAACATTCATATAATGAAGTACTCATCACCTCTTCTGGTCTGAACGCTAATTGGTCCACATACATTAGTATGTACCAGTTCCAGTTGAATAGTTGCGCAAACCTTTTTGGCCCTTGTAGGATTGCTTGGCCATTTTACCTTCCAAATAGGACTAACATGTAGCTGTTAGTTAAAAGATTATTGAACTTTCAGTCCCTCTTTTAACTAAAATATGTTTCCTACTTGAGATAATATGACTCAATCACAAAGGCCAAAGTTATGTTTCATTTGAAACTTTTATTTCTTTGGTGAAAGTTCTTGTTCATCATCCTTTCCATTCAACATAACAAATTTAAAAAGGGTATAGGACATAGGTAATAAAGACTATTTAAACAATGTACCAGAACAAAACAAGACGAAGATGAACTTCGAAATGTAACTGAGGAATCAATTGCATTGTCAAACCATGTTTTAACCAAAACAACTAACAAAAATTGAATTCCTCTTGAAATCCGGAACAAATAAACAGTCACTCAAAACCATAGTCGTATAAATAACTTGTCCTACTGCAAATGCAGACACAAGTTTCCATTTTCAAGCTTAAAATATCTATGTCCATTGCTGACAGGTATGCCATGTTTGAACTACTACAAAGAGTAACAAACATAATCAGTGATTCCTGAATCAATAATTCATTCACTGATCAGGCCTTGATATGCCTATGTCTGGTTGTTTTCATCACCTCTGGTCAATTTTTCTGTCAGTGTCCCTTTAGTCTGCACTTGAAGAACTTGCCTTGCGGCTTCTTCATAGCAACTGGTTTGACAACTGATAGCCAAGTCATTTTGTTCTTGTTACCACCCTTGGGTTTCCCTTTGGATTTAACAAGACTCTTAGCAAAAACTTGCACCGACTGCATTCTGTCTAGCAGAGCTGCTAGACGCAGCAAATATGTCATTAAGAGTCTGAAGCATTTTCACTCCACTCTTAATCATGTACACTTGCTTCTGCAAGTATTTGGAAAGACTGACAATAATATAGCAGCGAACTACCATATCTGCCCTTTCCAAATCTGTGAAATGCATCTTAGTTTCCTTAGACGCATCCTCTGTAGGTTGCTATGGCCCTCGCATTGTCAGAACAAATTTTAGCTTCCATGTTTTAGAACAATATCAAAAAATTTGCTTTTCACTTATTCATAGTTGGTACCATCTAGAGGTTTTCGACTCAAAATCATTTCTAAGATATTTTCTGAAAAACATATAAAGCACACAATTACAAACAAATAATGCAATAAACAAACGAAGTGCGAGTAGATTCTCATAACTACTCTTGTTTATTGTTAACAATCCTTCAGTTTATCTTTACAAGGCTTACGATGGGCAAGTCACTTGTAAAAACCAAAATTGTTATTTGGGCCTTCAGTGCCATTACCAGAGCCTCGATGGGAGGGTTAACAATTTTACCAAAATTGAATGTAATTAACCATTGTCTAAGCATTGCCGACGATGGGCCGTACAATACTTTACTAAAATTTTGAAATTATTAAGATTTAATCTAGTGAAATCTAATTATCCTTATCCGATGGGGCTTCAGCGATAACCATTTCACTAATAAACCCACAAATGGAGCCCGCAGGTTTTAAAATTAATTAATTTTTAAAACCTTCACCCATTCAACATTTTTGTTTGAGAATTTTCATAAGCCATGTCGAATTCATTGTTTAATTTCAAAATTATCTTTAATAACTTAGTATTATTGACGATGGGCCGTACAATACTTTATTAAAATTTTGAAATTATTAAGGCCCAATAAAATCCAATCATGCTTATCCGTTGGGGCCTCACATGATTATTTTATTGATAGGCCCACAATGCGCCTGGAGGTTAAATTAATTTCTTAATTTAAATCTCCTCCCATAGATATTTAAGTCCAATCTAATAAAATCCAATAATGCTTATTCGATGGGGCTTCACATGATTATTTTATTAATGGTCCTATAATACGCTTGAAGGTTAAATTAATCTCTTAATTTAAATCTCCTTCCATTCAACATAAGCAACATTTTCTAATTTCCAAGAATTATTTAATTGAGAGTATCCTTTGTTCGATTTCAAAAACTATATAAGTAAGAGCGCCGATAAACGTGCACTAAGCTTAACATAATTTTGAAAGCATTAAGGTCCTGAAATCCGGTCACTTTACGTCAGCTTGTGCTCCAAACAATCATGATACATGAAGGTTGTATGCAGCGTGTGTTATTCCATGACCATTTCAGAAAACCCACAAATTACTCGCAAAATAAAAGAATTCTCTTAGAAAATTTTCTCTAATTATTTTTCTAGATTTAAATCATCTAAATAGCTGACTTAATTATTAATCTAGATTGCAACAATCATAATAATTATTATTTATGAGGATAATTTGAAATCAAAATAATTTCCATAACGATTATTTGTCTTGATGTTAATTATCCAAAATTAATTAATTCAATTATTAATCTAGATTTTTAATAAAAATCATAATAATTATTAATTAATTTCTTAGGATAATTTAAAATCAAAATAATCCCATAATAACTATCATACTAGTCGCTGAAGACATAATAGCTATTATGCTCATGCAATCATACAAATTATGCAACAATATGGCACCACTTATTCTATATGGCATGTTATCGCAATAAAGCATGTTATCAATCATATAATTTATACCAATCAATAAAAGCATTAAATAATAAAATCTAATTACTTTAATCCATGACATTCCTATTTTAAAGAAAATAAAAAAAATGTTACAACTTTGGAATTCAACTTTCTCCTAGCCCATAGTATCTGTCTCAAGCCCCTTTAGGGTTTCCACGGGCCCAAAAGCCCAAAGACCCAATCCTTTGGCGAGAAACCCTAGGACGTGAAAGAGGAACCCTAGCCGTCAGGTCTGCCACGCCGTCACCCGAAGTCAAATCAGACCGAAACTCCAGGGGAAGGACTGCCACATAGATACGAGTGCACCGCCGCCGGAACCACCCAAAAAGGTGGCCGGACGCTCCCTCACTCTCTCATTCTTTGCCGGAGAGTGGCGGCCACTCTTAGACTATTGTGAAGGCGCGTGGGGAAGCGTGTGGTCTCCGATGGCGGCGATCCACCCACCGTGACGTTCGTCTTTCCGTCCTCTTTCCAACCATATATAGATCGCCCCATTCCGAGATCGGTAAGTCCTCGAAAAGTCTCCGATAGTGCTGACTGCGCATCTTCCTCGCGATTTCTCGATCTTGAACTTTTACAAAATATTGAAAAAAATATACAGAAATTCCAAAAATAAACAAAAACAGCAAGGAGGAAACCTAATCATATGAGATTAGCCTCCTTGTTACAAATCGAGAAATACACAAGAGACCCTAACCATGGATTAAAGCATTTTTACCGATTAAAATTTATACTTTTATGAAAATGAATTATAAAATACACATGCTAGATTCATACCATAATCCTAGAACCCTAGGTGCCACATTTCAATAAGCAAAACTAATTACATGAATAGTGAAACTAGATTCACATACCAATGTACAGCCAAGGCTCTGATACCAATTGTAGGAAATCTTAGATTCATATACACCTCAGTGCCGCAGCACGAACAACCTCCTTGAAGCTGGACTGTGGCGTATCTTCCAAACTATTTCTCGAGGAGGAAGGGGAAGCGTGTGGGCACTGATTAGATTCTGAGCTTGCCTCTTTCTCACAAAAAAGACCTTGGAGGCTGATGATTTAAGAGGTACTATTTATATGGATTCCAAGAAACCCTAGCTCATTGGGCTCTAGGTTCCTTGGGCTCTTCTCATACTAATAACCCATTTGGGCTTTAGTAAAAGAGCAAACCCAACATTGGGTTCATGGATTCTTTCACTTATATACTCTTCACTTAGCTCATTACCAACCAATGTGGGACTCATCACACTTGGATATCTCAACAGTTTTGCACCTTTGAATAGGAACTTTTCCCGTAATCATCATGTTAAGAGAAAAAATAAAGTTATATAGTGCAAGAACCCTTAATATAAATTATAGGATCTATTAATTATATTCAAAACTAAACAGTGGTCATATATTATGGGATCTATTAAATGGGATATATTATTTTACTTATTTTTTTCCTCTTATCTACCACTTTCCAATATCATTAGATTAGAATGTTAATTATCTTTATTATTTCTCTCTTTTATTGAGATTATAATATAACGATATTGAAGAATGATAAGCAAAGATAAGTAAAAAAAAAATATGTAAAATAACTTATCCCTGTTAATTATATTCAAAAGTTAAAATCATAGTGCAGGAACCAAAAGCTAATGTGAACAAAATGAAAAACAAGTAAAGCAAAAAGATGAGCACTACAGGGCAAAAATAATATACAGAAAAGGCAGAAACGCGTTAAGGAATAAAGCAGAGGCATCAAAGATAAGAAGAGAGTAATGGAAAGAGCTGTCCACAATGCAATCTAAAATGTGAAATCCACCTTAGTATGAACTTTAGAAAACATAAAATGGAAAACCATCTTTTAATTTCTCCGCATATTCTCCTCTTTATCAAAATGTCATAGACTAATAGCCCAAAACCTTATTAACCGTCCGAATAAAATAATTAAGAAAAGCTCAATCATATCTCGTAAGATACACTTTTGCCAAGAGACAAACCCTTATATAAGTGACAATCAGTGCTACAAATTCTGCAAGGAAGTGATAGAGAAAACCATCAAATGCCCAGTTTGAAGTTGGTAGGATACTAGTTTCTGCTTGCATTGTTGGTACGAAATGGATGCAGTGTTGGGCTCCCTAGTGATTATGGTGATGACTTTGGCAGCAGAAGCCCAACTGAAAACTGGGTTTTATTCTACCTCATGTCCAAATGCTGAGGCCATAGTACGGTCCACCGTAGTATCCCACTTCAACAAAGATCCAACCATTGCTCCTGGCCTGCTCAGGCTTCATTTCCATGATTGTTTTGTCCAGGTAAGCTACCTCAACCTCAAATCCTTCACTCACATAAAGCCATACATATATAATTTATCTTAAAGATTAATGTTTTTCATGTTGTAAGAGATAATTTTATTTCCTACACATAACATATATAAAAGTGCGTGAGATCCATCCTTTTCTTTTTCTCTATTCTCTTCACATGACCCCACATCCAGATGAGTCTCACATATTTTTATGTGTACCATAGATAAAATTATGTCTTACGAGAAACATTAATCCCTTTATTTTAAGATACAATTGACAAGTCATTTGACAATATATTCCACAGGGATGCGATGGTTCAATTTTGATTGGAGGCTCTTCTGCTGAGAGGAATGCATTGCCAAACCTTGGTCTAAGAGGTTTTGAAGTGATTGATGATGCAAAATCACAAATAGAGGCCATATGCCCTGGAGTTGTCTCATGTGCTGATATTCTAGCATTGGCAGCACGTGATGCTGTTGATTTGGTATTAAAATAAATAATCTCTAACGCTATGCTTTTTGAAACACATTCTAGCAAAAACACACACACACACACACACATGGTCTTTTTGAATGAATTGATAAAATTAACACTTGTGAAAATGGCAGAGTGATGGCCCAAGTTGGTCAGTACCCACAGGAAGAAGAGATGGGAGGATTTCTTTATCATCCCAAGCCTCGAACTTGCCTTCACCCCTCGACCCAGTTTCTGTCCAGAGGCAAAAATTTGCTGCCAAAAGTTTGGATGATCATGATCTTGTCACATTAGTTGGTATGCTTTCTTTCAAGTATTTAATGCATATGTTACTCACATGTTTGTGCTACTTTTATATGGTGTACAATAATTTATGTATGTCACAATTGTGTGTGTCTTCAGGTGCACATACCATAGGCCAAACAGATTGCCGGTTCTTCAGTTATCGTCTATACAATTTCACCACCTCTGGCAATGCTGATCCCTCTATAAACCTAGCTTTCTTAGCCCAACTTCAAGCACTTTGTCCAAAAAATGGAGATGGATTGAGAAGGGTGGCTTTGGACAAAGATAGTCCAGCCAAATTTGATGTTAGTATCTTCAAGAATGTACGTGATGGTAATGGTGTTCTGGAATCAGACCAGAGGCTGTGGGAAGATTCTGCTACACGACTTGTGGTGCAAAACTATGCTGGGAACATTAGAGGGTTACTGGGGTTGAGATTTGATTTTGAGTTTCCAAAGGCCATGATTAAGTTGAGTAGTATAGAGGTGAAGACTGGCAATGAAGGAGAGATTAGAAAAGCGTGTTCCAATTTTAATTGATCCATCGCTTGTGGATGCGTGTATAACAAATATTCATATGCTACTTGATGTATGAAAAAATAAAAAGCAAATAGATATAATAAAAAAAACATATTCGTCGCCTGAGAGATTCGAACTCTCGCGGGGAAACCCCATGTACTTAGCAGGCACACGCCTTAACCACTCGGCCAAAGCGACTTGGATGCTAGGTTTCGGAGTTTATTTATCATAGATCATTCGATATTTCAACTACATTAGCTATTTTTTTTTTTTTTTTTGGTTTTTTTTTTTTAATATTTAGCTCCTCCGCCAAGACGGTTTAAATTATGGGATTTTTAGTCTTTTAAATTGATTTTAATGAGGCAAATAATTTTTACAAGCACTAATAATATAATTTCAATTAACCTATGAGGTTTATATCTTTGGAACTGATTTTTGATATTTTAAAATAGGCACTAATTGACATGTTATGCTTGTAATATCCAAGATATTTTATTCAAATTTTATGAAATTTTTTTTTTTAATAAAATGATTGAACTGTGTAAATTTATAATAAATTTTATATTTGGCTAAAATTTCAAATAAGAATAAATATAAGGTTGACGAGACAGATAGTAGACTACGCAATCGATAAACTATTTACAGTTTCATCATCATATTCGTAACACATCTTCAAATTCAATTTTCTAAAAAAAAATTATTAATTCACTATTTACAAATTAAATAACATATAGCAATTAAGTAAAAGAATATTCACATGTTGAAAAAGCATTAGCAAATCATTAAGAGTGTTTGTTTAATCAAACTTCCTCCACCATTGCTTAATCCAATTAAACGCAATCTGGCGGGTATACAATCAAACATAGAACAATCATGAATTCAGACAAAAATCTTATTGCCACAAACTGCAGAATGAATTGTTAAATACACATTGCAAAAAAACCAACAGAGGATTCCCACTTCTTTTTCTCTTTGTTTAACTACGAGGAATCTTCAGGATTCAATCATCAAATGTGCTCATGAATCCACCAAGAAAGCCAGCCCCATTACAAGTTCCGCACAAAATATCCCTTTTACCCCTGCAAGAAAAATAGATGTTGGATAGGATTGGCTTGAAGCTAAACCAACAAGAGATTGGTAATTATAATCAGTAGGCAAGGGTCACCCCTATTTGTGATGGTTAGTCTTCAGATGACTCTGCTGTGTTTATTTTTTCATATATTGAGACTTGAACTACATATTATGAGTTTTTAGCACCTGACTTTCCAAGTATTATAATCAGGGAAAGCAACAAAACCATACAACTACTAAAAGTAATAATAACAAGTTATGCAGGACAATGCATACCGACAATTACAGATTATCTGTTCTATGCATTTTGACAGGATTTGAGCCTCATTAATCTATTCATTCTATCCCGGAAGTATAGTTATTGATTACAATCAGTTGAATTGGATCCTCTACTAAACTTGAACACATTATATACCGGGGAAATAATTTCTATTACCTTTACACATTCAGCTAATGCTAATACTAAAATGTCTACATAAACTTCAGTCTTGAACTTTATTAGCTAAGATAAACTTTGTTTATTTATTCTCTATTCACTCATTGATGGCAAGCACTAAATTGATGCAGATACATTTTTTATGAGGTGGGGGGAGGGATAGAAATTGATGCATATGAGTACATACTGATACACCATACAACACATAACATAGCGCAGTACACATGATCACACAGGATAAAATTATGGGAAAGGCAGGAGTGTGGTATTTTGAGGCAGTTACCTGCATAGCCAACATAATCCACCAGCTTTAAATTGTCCATTGAAGTGATCTACAGAATTAACTCCAGTACCTTTGCATTGAGTACATGATATTGCACCTGGCAGTTGAGCAAAAAGAACAACCCAGTGAGTTGAACACTGATGTCTTTAATGAAAGGGAAGAAAAAAAACTTAAAATATCATCTAGCTCTCCAAGAAATTGGCTACCAACGTAGCAAAAGCAGTAGGCCTCAAGCATGCATTGAAAAAATCATGGCTCATCCTCAAGAATTATCAATATTCTGAATGTAAATGCACAGTAGAGAACCATGATAAGCAATAGCTAACTGATAATACGTGAACATATCTCCAGACTGACGAATTGGCTTATCTCCCGAAGAATGAAGCACTAAAGGCTGAGCATCTAATAAATAAACTACGTTCCCACTGGAACCAGCATGACTTTGTGACTACATTTTTTAAGGTGATATCAGTATTTGGTAAAACATCTACTTAACTCAAATAGGAAGCAATCAAGTTAATAAGGTTTAAAGGTAAATAGATTTTCAAGACATTGCCTTCACGATTGGCATAAATTTTTTTAGGAAAAGGTAAAAAATTTCTCATCCAAGACAAGAAGCATTAAATGAGGATGAGCCTTCCAGTCATAGGTTCGAGTCTTGAAATAACCTCTTAGCAAAATTGCAAAGATAAGGCTACGTAAGATCAACCCACGTCCCTACCCTCACCAAGCCAGGAGCTTTTTTGTACTGGGATTTGCCCTTACAGCAAGTAAGCACCGAACAATCTAAATTATTATGAAGTCTATCACTATGGTATTTTCTTATAATTTTTGTACTAAACTATTAATAATGTAATATCACATGAAGGTAATCATTAATTTAAATCTATCTTTGAATAAAGAATAAGAAAACTACAAAAGATCGTGATAATTCACTTACCGTTTCCATCACAATCAGAACAAACAATAGACCTTACTTTTGTGGTTTGACTGTTATCTTCTGTAGCCTGTATTAAATCAAAACCAGATATGTGCAATTATTCATAGTCAAACAAAACAATAGAAACTAATTGCATTTAATGCATATTCAAGTTACATGTTCCACATTCTATTTCTTAAGAAAAATTAAATTGGCCAATGATCTACTCAACTTCTTAAGCGTCAGTTTATAATAATACTAAGCACCAAATCCTTTCATAGAACTCAACTCATTGTTAGTACTGACTGCTTCCAAATGTTGCCACACAAAACATTAATCAATGCCATACTACGATATGCATACTCTTCAGCCTACGAACCACATATCACAAACCATAAACAAATTAACTGACAATCCACCAGACTGTTTTCCTCATGCCAGCATAAGTCCAGGTATCCCTGCAGTTGGCACAATCAATCTAAATCCCAGTGTGTGCTTTTCTCCCTTTAATAGTTTCTACTTTGCGACGATATTTACATTACTTTTAATTGACATGTCTGCATGTTTTTTACTAAAAATGATGGAAATTGATTACTCAATCTCATGAATCTTTCCAACAAGAAGGTCCAATACTCACAAGTTTCCTTCTACTAGTCATTTAAATTTAATATTCAAGGGTCATAAATAACAAAACGAGGATTGCCTAAGGTTACCACATTTCTGTTCAACGACACAAACTGAGAAGTGAAAAAAGCTAACTGATTAACTACAATGGTCTACGCAATACCATCCCGCGGTACTTGTTTGTTAACTAGTTCATATCAGCAATTTTGACTTAAAAAACTGAAGAACAAAGCATTTTATTTGTATATGGGGTACAAAAATCAATCTCACCTTAACCTCCAAAGACTGAAAGTTTCGAACTTTAGAAATCTGACATGCTTCTTTCATCGGAAAAGCCTTCCGGGCAACCGAATTACAGGTGACTGCCCCTATTCATATTGATACAAATTCTCATTCAATTACATAAAACCCAACAAAGACAAGAAGGCACAAACATAGTGAGAGTGAGAGAGAGAGAGAGAGAGAGAGAGAGAGGGTTAAGAATACCAGGTCTGTTTGATGATTTCAAGGAACAAATAGGAGCAAAACACAGAGAGTGCGCCATTCACAATCACAGGGATTCCGAAATATCAAAAGGGGTAGCTAAGCCTTGTCTGAACGGAAATGAAGGAGTGAGCTCTTCTCAGTGAGTTCTCAACGAATACGAGTTGGAGCAGATAAGGCCCTCGAATTTGTGGGTAAAGTTTACGCTTTGTTACTTCAATGCCCTTGGACATGTTTCCACGACCTCGGAATACGACAACTTTGACGTCACAAAATAGTGGGCATTAGCGTAAAATCATTCCTCTTGCTCTCCCCACACCAACAAAAAATTAAGGACATAGATTTTGTGAACCACAAACAAATGGCGAGCACTCTGTGTTCCGTACACCGCTTTCTTCCCTCCCAAAGTAAGCTTAACTACATACAATTTCATCTAGTTTCTTTCATTCATTGGTGTTGTGTGTCAATTTTAGTTATAATTTCATTTCCCTTTTCAAATAAGCTGTGGATATTTTCACAAACGGATACTGTAATTTCTAATGAGAAATTTTGATATTAGGTGTGGGCTTTTACTGTTATGTGTTTGTTTCAGGGAGGGAAAAGGTTGAATACTTGAGTGCTCTCAGGACTTCATTTTGTGGAAAAGTTGTATGTAATCCAAGTTTCTCTGGGAGACAAATAGCTAGAAGCCATGGAAACCGTCTTGTTATTAGCTCACTGGTCACTGCTTCACCCTTCTGTGGCTCTATGCTATTTCATTTATCTTTGCTTACATTTGTGGTTCGGATATATTTTAAGTCTCTTTCATGTAGTTAATATGAATTTTAACTGTGGAATTTCTTTGTTGGCAGCTTGGAAGGAGGGTGAAGAGCAGAGAGACAGTGATTCCTGAACCAGATTACAGGATTCCAATTGTACTACTTGGTGGTTACTGATTCTCTCTTTATTTGTATGTCTGTTACCACATAATTTTAGGCTTTCAAATAAGTGATAACGCTTACTATAGGCTGTATCTAAAACCATGGAAACTACTGACATGGTATAGCCTTATATATTTGAGCTGATTGTGTATTTACTGTTCTTCGGAAAACGGCCATACTCCATAATACTTGCATTCATAATATGTAGATTGTCCTGAATAATCTGTTTATAACTACAAAGTTTAGTGGCCCTTTAATTGGGCTTATTACAACCTTATAAAGGATTGACTTTGACTCATCTGAAAAATAAGTATCCATGTTGACTATCTGTTGCCTTAGTTTTGGGTTCTATGAAACTTAGGTGAATCAAAATCTTGAGGAATGAGATTAGCTAACTCTTCTGACAACCTGCGGCTGTTGATAACCTAGTCTCTTTTGCCTTTCTGTAAAGAACCTTGGGATACACCACCCCAAAAGCTAGCTCAAAGGGTGGGAGTGCCCAAGACAAGAAAGAAATTCCATCGGAAAGAAAGTGGGGGGCGGCGAGATTTGAACCCAGGTGAGAACACGAGGCTCTGATACCATGTAAATAACCAATTCAACCCAAAAGCTTAAGCTATATCTCAACACGCCCCCTCACACGAGAGCCCTTTGGGCTTGAAGGGTGGATAATGCACAGGCCCAACTACCTGTGCGAAGAAAGAAATTTCATCGGAAAGAAAGTGGGGGGCGGCGAGATTTGAACCCACGACAGAACACGAGGCTCTGATATCATGTAAAGAACCTTGGGATACACCACCCCAAAAGCTAGCTCAAAGGGTGGGAGTGCCCAAGACCTTATAAACTCCACATTAGTTGCACATACAACCAATGTGAGACTATATATCTCAACACTTTCCTTATACAAGCAGATTCACACAAGTTATAAATTATTATGACTCTCAAAATTGTACTATCAGGTATAGCTGGCGGGTTGGTTTACACAGATAATCTGGTACCTGCTGTACCTGTTGGTCTCCTTGGATTGCTTTTGTTGTTCCAGGTAATTATTTGTGGAAAACAGTTTAATAAAGAAAGGTGCAAATTCAAAGAGGCTATAACGTTAATTTGTCTGCTGACTTCTCACTCATTTCGCTAAAAAGCTGTATTATATTTTCCATTCCATTTTCAGAAGCTGACTTTTTCTGTTATTATTTCCTCAGACCACTAGAGTGAGATTCGTCTTTGATGATGAGGCTCTGGTTTGTTCCCTTGTTTCCTCTCCAAGAACTTTGTGGTCTATACATACTATTATTTACTTTCCTACACTTTGTGTCTATTGTTTACTTTGTTGAACAGCATTTTTTTTTTTTGTGGTTGTTGCATTTGTTTTACTATAGCTGAAAGTGATTTGAATATTGTTAATTCAAGTGATTTCTGAGAACAATTACGTTTCAAACATTTATGTCTTAGTAGCAATTCCTCTGCCTCTTCTGCCTTCAAATTTTGCATGAGTTTATTCTTAAATAGATTTAATTTGATGCGAAAAGACTAAACTTCATTACTAAACACACTATGTTTTAGAGTTCTGCAGTTTGACTGTTTGTTCCTTTATATATGGTTTATATTGATATCAAATCATCATCCAATTTCAGTTACCATCCTAATGTATAACTTCATCTGCATAGTATTTGTGCGTGTATGTCCTTCATGTTGATGTGTATTTACCATTCCAAGGTGTTTAGCATTCTGTTATCTTTAGCTGCTCACATTAGAGTTATATACAAAAATTGTGGTTTAGGAGGTAAAGATAGGTGATCAGCTCCAGGAATCAGGTGACAATGTTTTCGTGGGAGGAAGAAACCGCTGGAAGTAAGTAACCAATTTCGTTTCTATACTGACTAGAATTTCACAACAGTAGGACAAAAAACCAGATTGATATGCAACAGGTACTCAACATTTGTTAATTGGGAATTCTGGTGGCCAAACTTCCCTATCTTGGTTTACTTCAAGGAGACACAAACAAAGCCCGAGGGACAAATTCATTTCTTCCCGATAATCTTTGTAAGCAGTTTGGAAGCAATTAGAGCCAATATATACATATAGGAAACAGTTCAGAAATTAAATTTCATTCTTACTTTAGTTGCAGAAGTTAAGCTTAAACATTTAATTGTTTCATGGTGATTTATTTTGACAAGCAGAATGGGAAGCAGCTTTATGACACTATGGCGGAAAGAGCTGGCCCTTCAAAAACTAGTGGGCCAAAAGAATCATAAGAACTGAACTGTGTGGTTAGAGCCTAAGGTATCAATCCCCCGCCTGAATTATAATCATTCTATTATTTCAAGATATACCAAATTCAGAGACGGAATACAAGCTCCTGTTTGACATACCAATCTTGCTAGGTAGTATTGTTTTGGCAATTGGCACAATTGTCTTCCATTTAGGCATCCGTTTTAATTTATTAGGTTGAGCATCAACCTCTTTAGACTGTAAATGTCTATTTTTTCTTCTGAGGTCCTTGCTTGGGTGAATAGTTGTGCAAGTTGAGTCCACTCCCCTTAATCTTCATGCTTGCCTTTGTAGCATAAGTGGGTCTAAGGAAAATTGTGGGAGAGCTGGAGAAGTTCTACTGAAATTCTCCTGATGTGCCACAAATTACATAGCCCTTGCATAAATGTATGATGTGTTATTCATTAACAGATATTTTGCTGATGTTCATTTTGGTCTCTACAGAATCGGTTTTTTGATCGTCATACCCTAGAATACAATGATTCTAAAGTTCCTTTAATGCACGTGTTTTTACAGTTTGGCATAGAAATCCAGAGTCTGAGACCCCTGCAAAGAGGCTTGTGAAGTTGGGATTAATATTGTTTGTAAGTTTGTTGTAAGACGGTGAAGAATCCTTCCTGTTTCTCTTCCACGCACAGTTCTCGGTTGTTTTAGGTAGACAAGAAGTTGGAGCTAAACAAACAGCTCAATTATTGAGTCGTCTTGTTCACGTTAGTATAGCAGATCCTATTTCTTGTGAGCTTGGCCAGTGATTTTACTTCATTCTGGAAGATGTGCAACCATATTTATTTGGACTATGTTGGCTTCCACAAATGATATAATTCCCTGTACAATTTAGAACTCAATATTTGTTATGAAATATCAAACATGAGAACCTTGATCTATTTATTTTTTGGGGGTGGGGGGAGGGTATGTCCGATACACATTTTATAAATGGGTCTCAATGCAACTGGAAATATAAACGTGTATATTTAACGAATGCCTAAAATTAAAGATTTGTTTACAAAACCTCAGTAAAACCTGAACAGATCTACACAAGAATCCTATTGAAGGTAATGCTAATGCATGTCCATGAACATATGCTTTTCCAACTTCCATCGATGGATACTTTTGCATGATCATGAAGTTATTAAGCAGCTTGCTGTTGGCCATCAATTCATCAGATGGTTCAACGCTCAAGGATTGTCTGACACATGATGTTTGTCAAGTGGAAAAAGTGTACGCGGAAACTAGCAATGACTTGGTTTTCCAGGAAGGGGCTGCAAAACTGAAAACCGAAATTGTGATCAATCCTTCTTGGTGCAATGTGCATCTGTGCCATGTTGGGTACAATCATGATAACCCACACTTCGGAGGAAGTCTCGAATCTCTTTTGCACTGCTATTACTGGCCTGCAATAGACGCTCATCTTCCTCGTATATGAGATATGGGGCTTGACTTCCCTTCCTTGAGAGTAACTTGGATGCTCCTTTAAGAACATGATATTCCCAGCCCTGAACATCTATTTTGAGTAGAAGCACACGCTCTGATTTTGGAATCACTGTATCGAGAGGAACAGTGCTTACTTGAAAAGCTATCTCTTCATTGGACTTAAATGCCATCTTTGCACCTGTGGCAGAAACCGCACTGTTGTCCAGCCTACCAACCAACTGGTAAATTAAGTAAAACAAATTGAAGTGATTAGCACAGGAAAGACAAGCAGAAATTGCATCAGAAAATATATGATTCCATTTTCTTTTTTTTCTTGTCCGATGCAATGAGGCTTTGGCCTAATGTTTCAAACTCTCACCAGTGAGTTGAAGACCTTATTCTAAATTTCCTCCCCAAAACTAGTTCATTTCTAAAAACAGAAACTTTCATATGAAACCATGGAGTAAGACTTGACAGCTATAATGATAGGAGAGATTTTTCTTTACCGAGGAGAAATATGGAACTTTATTTAATTAAGAAAAGAAAAAGTAAAACAAGTCATAAGAGCAAAGGTTGCTGCCAGCATTGAAGGATCACTCCAAGACCCTGCAGACGCAGAAAAACAGAGCAGACTACAAACTGAAGCCCTAGAGACGTTATCCCCTTCTATTTCTACATACAACATAGTCCCACACCTTATCTCTCCTCAAACTACTCCTTAATCCACCCTTAATAATAATAACTGACTACTTAGCAACTGCCTCCCCTATCAGTAACCGTCTTTAATTGCTCACCCTTAATAATAATGACTGACTAATCAGTAACTGCCTTTAATTGCTTTTTGGTTTTGTCCTGGGGCTGTAAAAATATTTAGGGCTGTAAAAATATTTAAGGCTGAATTGGTGTTGGTCTTGAAGCCTGCTCTCCATCATATAATCAGAACTAAAACTAAAAACAGAATTTTGTAGCATCTATTCCAAATAATTAAACATTTTTTCAACCATAATGCACACACCATCTTTTGCATTGTTTTTAAGATGATATAGAAAGCAACCATCGTTAATTATACATAAGAAACTTTAGGAGACCGCATTTCAAGCTGCTACCTCAAGAGGAGAATATTGAGACTTATGAGTTAAGACATTCATCCAATTTTATCCAACTAAAGCAGACAAGCTGGCTCTTTAAATACATTTTTTAATGTGTCATCCAATCATTGTTCATAATATGGCAGGTGCTAGGATTATCCTGCCCTAACAAATTTTGAATCAGCAATTTGAGGGATTTTTTGGGGAATATTCGGAAGTCATTACCATCACCTGAACCTAAGACCGAACTGACATCTCCATCCAACCCAATGGTTACCTGAGCGAATCAGATCTTTCGAAATTCAAATGGGAAGCTGAACATCTCTTTTATTGGGTAAACAAGAGAAGATAACAGAAAAGATAGCTCCCAAGGAAGATAAGAGTAGAATTCTCAGTTAACAAGGAAAGAGAAAACCGAGGAGGAGGATGCAATCAGTAAGCTAAAGAACCAATAAATCTTCACTCGGGTCATGTTTTGCCGATAAATTTGTTCATTGATTAGCCTCATGTAGAATATGATTTAGATTAAGTTGATCAGTTATGTCCTGAATAATAGCTCCATACAAATGGCATGCTGGGTCTACCTTACTTACCATGTTAATAACTTCCAGAGAAGCTTAAAAAATATGCTTTGACTTACGTTATTCTCTAATACGGAACCTATTCCAAGATAAACTAAAGAAACTAGAATTGAAATATCACTAATTGCGTCCTATACTTAAACAGGAAGCAACTCTGAGAACATTTTCATTAACTATATTTACATATGGCATTCCATGGTCAATATTGCAAAGGGAATATAATGTAAGCTCATCATTAAATTTTGCAATCTAATAAATTTGGAATGTCCAACTAGAAGTTTGAGCCGATTCACCTTCACCCTTTATACAGTGTAAAGCATAAGTGGATAACCACTCTAGAAAATCAAGGAAATGGTTCTCATAAATTGATTTATCATTATCAAGCTTTGTACGTTATAAGAATCTAAACTGTCCCCCCCCCCCCCCCCCCCCCAACTGCAATTTTCTCTACTTTACTCTCTGCACTCTAGAGGATTTTTTTTCTGAGCTAATGAGATTAGTATCCAGTAATCCAACTAATCAAGCCTTCTTCCACAATCCCTCATAATAGTGCAATTTATAAACTCACCATAAACTATAAGAAACCAAAATTCAATTCAAGCATAGCGAAACCACAGAACAAAAGAAACTTATAAAAAGAAATATCACCTTGTGAACGGTAATGTTGCCAAGGCGATCTGATGCTGCGGCTTCAAACACAGTAACCAAATCCGCGACTCTATTGAAGTAAATCCCTTCACAGATCTTCTGCAAATTCTCGAAAACAGGCTCGAATGCCAAAACGCGGAACCCCATAGCAGATGCGGCGAAGCTTGCCATACCCACATTGGCACCCACATCCACAACAAACCCATCTCTTCCTTCGCTTTTCGCCTTCTCCAAAACATCCTGAATCGTGACCGAGATGTCGGGTTTGCGAAAAGGTTTCCCTTTGAGCATCCTCACGATGTTCTTGTGGGGCTTGTCGGGTAGGGTTCCGAAATCCGAAAGCGAGTAGAGAAACGGGTAACGAACCCCTTCCACGGTGCTTGCAACGACGGGGTGGGCCTGCGGTGATTTCAAGCAATCGAAAGGGGAAATTGCATTCAAGGAGAGATGGGTGTTGACGGTGATGAAGCCAGGGTTTGTGTTTGAGGGACGAGAGTTGAGGAATCCGAAGAAGAAGAACAAGAGGAGGAGAGTGGAAGAGAAGAGTAAAATCAGCAACTTTGGAGAGACTAGTCTCGTGGGTTTATCTCTTTTCCAGGCATTTGCCATGGAAAAGGACAGTGATCACGATCGAAGCTTCAGCTTCTCTCAATGAAATTGAGATTTGGATCTGCTTCAGCCTTCAGGGAACAGCAACACTGCACTTAAACTAGAGTAACTCTTGGCAACAAAATTAAAGAAGTTTGGTGGAATAAATGTATTTAACTTAGTAATGCACGTGCGATAAATGCATTTAAGTGAGTAATGTGCTTGAGTGAGTAAAGTGTTTTGTTTTTGTTGGTTAGTGAGTAATGTGATTTTAATTCTATTAGGTGAGGAGTAGAAGTGACTAATTAGGTATTTAACTGTAACTAACTACGTGGCATAGAATTAAAAGGTATAATTTTAAACAAGACCAAATTCTGATTTTTTTTATTTTTTAAGTTAACTCAATCCTAATTAACTATTTTAAGTGAGTTGGCTCTTTTTGGTATTCCCACAAACTTTGATTCTTTGAGCGAATTATGATATTAATTCAAAATGTGGGACGAATCAAAGATAAAAATATTTAAACTCCTTCCAGAAATTACATATAAAGATCAAATTGAAATTTTTTTTTTACTTACTTAACTCATTTGCTACCTAACCACCATTTGATAATTCTGATTTCTTTTATACTTTGACAATTTCTTTCGCGTTCAAAATAATGCTTATTTTTCTATCAAAAAAAATGCTTATTTTAAAATCCAAAATAATAATAATAATAATAATTTCATCTATCACCGGAAATTCCATCTTAGGTCCATAATAGGTTAAGAAAATTATTTTAAAAGTTTTAATGGTGTGGTGTCATTTACTTTTTTGTATTATTTTGAATTATTATCAATATTGTTTTATTTATTTGTTCAAAGTTTACGTTATTATAAATATACGGGTTATATTTATCTCATTCAACATGAGATAAATCAAATTCTTACACACATAACAAAGGTGAATCTCACCTCTATCTTTTCTCTCTTCAATTATTTGTGAGTCCCTCTTATAGTTTTGTTTCACTAACATAAGATAATTCATCTCCAACAGCATAAGAAAAATATTTCCCTAAATATACACACATGAAAACGCAAAATTCATTTTATAAGTTCGTGCATGTTTGGTTTTCTTACCAAAAAATGTGATCTTCGTTTCATCAAAAAATTTACGTTGAACAAAAATTAAAAAGAAGTTAGAAAATATAAGTTTAAAAATGTTGACATGGACTAAAAGGGGATTTTTTTTTTTTAACTAAATTAAGTTGATTTAATAAAGAATAAAAGTGAGAATATTCTAACTACCAAAAATTCTCACTATTAACTTACTACCCATCACATCACCATTAGATCAAAAAGAGATAATGTTAAAAAATGTTTGAAGAGAGAGAAAATATTAATCTAATGATGATTAGATAGGTAGTAAGTTGGTAGTAAAAAAGTTTGAGAGTGAGAATATCCATCATCAAAAGAATAAAGGGGTGAGATGTACAGTTAGAATTTAGAAGAGCTAGATTCACAGCTACGAAGACGATGCCTGTGCTCATGCAAGGTCGTGGCTACAGTCCTAAGCCAAGCAATTCAATCATGACTCAAATCCAATATTAAATGGACACGTATTCAAAATGTGGATGTGTTGAATCTGCTTTTCGTGTTTTAGAGCATTCCTTTTAATGATGCTAATTCGTGGGATGCTCTTGATTTATAAGAACATTGAAGTTGGAAATATAATGAGGAGAAATAAGGTTGATATGAGCGTAGCCGATTCTGTTATAGAGAAGCTGGGTGGGAAGTGGAGGAAAACACAATAGAAGAAAGGGGGGAAAAAAGAAACAAGGTGGCAGCATAATAGAGGAGGATAATGTAGTAGATGAGTTTCCTGCTGGTGATCACTCTCATCCACAGGCACAAGATGGGCAAGTTGCTTTATTCATTTCTCAAAATGGAGGATTTAGAGGATATCTGAATGGGTTCAATAGTAAATGATGATTTTACATGCTTCAGCATGAAAATAACTCATGAAAATAAAATCCAAATACGAATTACTGGTCCTTTATACATAAACTCATGAAGGTCATAACTCAAAATAAAAATAAAGAAAAAGAATAAGAAGAGGAGGGAAAAGACTAGACAGGATATACCGCAGCTACTTGGGCATGTCCTTGAAGAAAAGACTTGGTGAGTATTTTTCACGGGCTTGTCCTGCCCGTGTATTATATAATTGAATCTCATTTCCTATAAAGACATCCTACAGAGTACAACAATTGCATTGATGACTTGACACTGTCATCCAGTAAAATTTAATAAATCATGTGAACCAATTGATACATATATGGATTAAAAAATTTGTGTTCATGTTAAAATTAGTGTAAAAATAATAGTCGAAGGTAAACCGTGTTTCTGAAGAGGTGATCCTTTTTTTGGTTCTTTCTCATCTTTCCTGTTGGGTCTCAAAGCAAGTTCAGGTGTACACTGGACATAGCAATTGTTTTCCTGTTGCTGGTTGGGTGATGCAAAAGCAGCAAGGAGCATAACAGGTGTGTCAAGAGCACTGCTTTGTCTGAAAATCTTCTGCTGATAATAAACCATTTATAAGGCGTTTAAGCCTTTCTGCCCCCGAGCCGGGCCTAAGTTCAGTGATATTTCTTATAAAAGAATATGGCTTGGTGATGTTTGGATTTGCTTGGATGAACCACCTGCCAGGTACATAACCATGGGCATTTCGCCCCAAGAGTTCAGTATCAATCTTATCCAAGAGTGGTTCGTTCCTGCCAAATTTCCTAGCAAAAGGAGTATTGCTCTCCACCATGCTCTGGTAGTTATTTTCTGAAAGGAAGTGTGGATGTTGTTTTGGAGGGTTGTCCCACGATATGAAATGGAGGTCATGGTTCACGGTTGTGTTACGGAACTCCTCAGCATTGCAGATGACTGTGTGAAAATACCCTTCAGGGGAAGATAGAAAGTTTGCATAATACATCAAGACTATTCTAGGCAAGTTATCCCATCCCAATAAACAATATTCAACAAACTGGCGAGAGAGCATCATCCAGGCAGAACCTGAGCAAAATCAAGTAGCAAAATATAACTCATAAAGCTTGAAAAATGAAGTAGTAATATTCAACATACAGTTAGGAATAATGATTTCAAGTTAATTTCTCCAGATTTCAAAGTCTTCCAGTTATGGACGGTTATTGAAAAAGCTTGATTGATGATAAGGAGATGTATCTCACTGATTCAAGTAAACTGGGTGATCTCATGAGGTAGTTTAGCTGCAAATGGCTTCATGTTTAAACAAGCTTAAAATAAAGAGTAAGGACACTAGACTGAATTATGCAATTTGTAACGCCCGGCCGGTTGCAAGATCCATGACTGTCCCCACAAACTAGCACGAGACTTTTCAGCGTGCTTTATCCTCACTTACATATTTCCTAGGAAAACTTCCCAAAAAGTCACTCATCCCATAATTGCTCCAAATTAAGCACGCTTAACTAAGAAGTTCTTCTGTTCCGGGCTACCGAAAAGTAGATGTATCTTGTTAGTATAGGTAGTACCAATTAATTCTTATAAGTTATGTACCAAAAAAATATATATATTCTTAAGTTATCCCCAACTGTACCGTCCTATACCAACACAATATCTGGAATCCTTCTCTTTCGGGTGTTGATTCGATTCATTCATGTACTCCCATCTGCAAGATTTGGCATGAGCCGCTCATTGTCCGTGCCTCTTTTGCACCGGCGATCACTCCCTGCCCTTGCCAGCCCTTGGGAAGTTACATGCCTTCCGCCTGATTCGTCCTCGAACCACACCGTACTGGGAGAGAGGCCCTGCTCTGATACCACTTGTAACGCCCGACCATTGCAAGATCCATGACTGTTCCCACAAACTAACACGAGACTTTTCAGCGAGCTTTGTTCTCACTTACACACTTCCTGGGAAAACTTCCCAAAAGGTCACCCATCCCAAAATTGCTCCAAGTTAAGCACGCTTGACTACGGAGTTCTTCCGTTCCAAGCTATCGAAAAGTAGATGCATTTTGTTAATATAGGTAGTACCAATTAATTCTTATAAGTTATCCCCAAATGTACCATCCTATACTAGCACAGTATCTAGAATCCCTTTCTTTCGGGTATTGATTCGATTCATTCATATACCTAAGATTTGGCATGAGTCGCTCATTGTCCGTGCCTCTTTTGCACCGACGATCACTCTCTGCTCTTGTCAGCCCTTGGGATGTTACACAATTAGACATAATGTATGAATGAAATGAATTAAAGGAGAAGGGATACACAGCTCAAGAGGAAAGGCTTGCCAAAGGTTGTATTTGGATTACCTGAAGACATGGAGTATTGAGTTCAAGACAAATGTGAAAAACTATAGCCAATAATAAAGAGAGAAGAAAAGAATGGACAAAAGTGAAAAGGCGCTGTAATTCTGAGTAATCATACTCAAAACCACTGGCTACTGAAGTCATTTTCTTATAAGTTGGATTCACATCACCATCATTGTTCTCTCTCTCTCTCTTTTTCTTTTTCATTACGACCATTTGACTTCAATCCAGAATTTTTTAAAGCACTTCGAGATTTTGTAATATCTTCAATCTATTCAAGGGTTAGATGTCTCATATGCAGCTGAAACATTCTACACATTTGAAAGAGCAAAATAATTAAGCTGGCGAGGGGGGAATAACAAAAGAGATTGAATTAAAATAGAGGCATCAGATACTGGGTTTCTCACCTGTAAACAGCCTATATGCTGTGGGAACACTTCTTCTCTCTGTCACCCAAAATACATCAGATTTGTTGACACTATAAAGAGCTGGATCAATTATAACAGGCTTGGCTCTCTGATCTCTATTGAAAAATGAAAACAGTAAATGATAAATCTAGTAAAGAAGAGGTACATTTGATATTTCACAAAACTGCCTGTTACTTTTGAAGGAAATGAAGTAAACCACGCAATTGAAAAAAGGGACAAAAGGATTTAACAACATACTCTTTCCAGCCAATATCACTTGTGTGCTCAATGAAGTTAAGGTGTCTCGGAATAGATGATAGTGTATGTAGCAGATCTGTTGAACAAAAGAGATGTAGTAAATTGAAAAAATCAGTGGATGAAAGTGAAAACAGGACAACATAGTTCAGAGTTCTCATTCTATTGTAAGTTCTAGCTTATTAACAGAGCTCACTAGCAAACCATCAAATTTTCCATAAGACAAATTTTTCCTTTTATAAATATTAGTATTCATCCAACATACATGGAATAGTGGTTAAGCTTCTAAACATAAAGAAACATCAATGCAGAAACTAGTGGAATTTCAAGCAGTTTTATCTTAAACCTGGTATTCCTCCCCTCACCACCCCGGGCTAAAGGAGAGAGAGGAAAAAGCCTGCCTGCCGATAAAAACAAACAACTCAGTGATGAGCAAACTAACAAGATAGAACAATTTGAAAACAAATTGGGACCAGATCAGATAAATTTAAAATTCAAAAAGTCTCTATATTTATCTGGGAGCAAAATTACCAACAAAAACGCAGCTGTTAAATGGTAGAATAACATTAACATATACTAAGAAACAGGCAGATCAGGTTTTCACTTCTCAGGAATGCACTTCAAAACAAAACAGCATTTAAATCATTAAACACAAAATTGAAAATTGGGTAACAGCCAAGACAATAAATAAATTGTTTGTCTTTGTCCTGCCTCATTTCAAAGATAACTAACGAACCAATGAATTTCCACAAAAACCACACACACAGAGGCTAACCAACAAAAACGATGCATCGTTATACTCAAACTTGAGGAGTAAGAAAGAGGGTACCATCTTGGGTGACCAAGGGATAATCAGAAGCGCTGAGATTGATGAACCAATCCCAGTCTCCACCTTCCTTGAACAAAATGGCAGCAGCGTGAAGGGTATTGGTGACCATGGTTGGTCCTCTATAAGTGACCAAGTTGGCCTTCACAACCATCCTAACATTACCCAATTCAGCAAAGAGAGGCTCGTTCCTCACGAAGTTAAAAAGGTTCAATCTTTCCTGTGGAGAAGCTTCTAGGTCCAAGTGCACAGCGTATTGGTTCCTTGGATGGTAAAGGGCCTTGAGGGTCCTCTTCAAACTATCCCCATCACCCACTGAACCCGAGATCAAGTACGCGATCCTGGGAATAGTGTTGCTCGATGATGTTGAAGACACCCTCAGCTTTGACTCAACGAAATCAGGAACCTCAGCTCTCAATCGTGCACGGTAGAGGTAGAGCAAGGAAGAGGAATCGGAGGAAACGAATATGTAAATGAGTATGAGCAAGGTGGATAATAGTAGAGAGAAAACCAGTGGCATAAGCCACTTTTTTTTCTTCTGCTGTTTGTTGGTTTCCATTGAAGTTTGAGCGATGATACTCAAGAGCCAGGTTTTGATGTTCTTTTCTTAGACCCTTTTGTGGGTATTTCTGTCACAAGGACAGACAAAGAGAGAGAGAAACAGAAACAGAAACAAAAACAGAGGTTACTGTAATACTAATACTAATAACAACATTTAACAGTATATTTTGGTTTTGTATTTGTCATTATACAGAAGATCCGTAATTGACTTGAGTTGAGGAGTGTTTGAGGCGTCAGTGAATTCCTTGTCGCTTTTTTTCTACCCCCTTAACATTCCTATACGACCCTTTCAATCTGTGGTTTAATGCTTAGTGGACCAAATAAAATTTTATATACTCTACGTGCATAGATTTAAATTTTTTTTGTTTGATTTGTCATTTTCATTGATTATTTAACCTTTCTTAACAGATATCGTGGCACTCATTGAATGTGATTAATCATATTGATTATAACTAAGCTTTATTATTGTCTTACTTTAAGAAAAAGTTACATTAAATGTAACTTTTTATATTAGAGTCACTGAATCACCCTAACTTAGTAACAGTTAGTTTTGAGATGTTGATATTAAATTTAGCAAGGTGCAAAACATAATCGTAGTACGGTGGAAGATAAAACGTTGACATTGGTGATCAGAAATTGAAAGCTGAACTGCTGGGGGCAAATGACGGAACAAATTTTTGAGTTTCAAAAATTTAGGATTTAGAAGAAAATAAAGATAAAAATATTAGTTTAAATAAGGATACAAATTTTTTTTAAGAAAAGGGAAGTACCTTAATATCCATAGTAGTTAAAATTTTAATTTATTATTGTGATTTTATATTTTTACAAAAAAAGTTATTAAAATAATTTTATCAATATTCCAAAAAAAATTATATTCTTACAATTTTTTATTTGGGTCAGGATCATTTTACACCAGTGTAAGTTACACTCTCAATCTTGTCCACTGATCTCACTTATATCTAATGGCTCAAATTTTTTAGTAACGTGAGCCATTGGATACAAGTGGATCAATGGTCAAAATTGAGTGTAAGACTTCAAACTCTTACACTGGTGTAAGAATATCTTGCCCCTTTTTATTTTCGTAATTTTACGTAAAATTTTAATTTTAACTACCTTGATAATACTAAAGAAAAATTTCAAATGACAGTCGCCAGTAGGCAGTAGCTAAGGATGTAAATAGGTCCGGCTTTGACTTAAATATGTCAGTTCTGTGTAAAAAACATTGGACTTGGTCTGACCTGTTAGCCTGTGTAGGTCTGAAATTACAAGTCTGGCCTAACCAATATTAAAAAATAAAAGCCTTGACCTAGGTCAATTAGCTTGTTTAAACCTATTAAACATTCAATAATTAAAAGAATAACTAAAATAATATTACTTTTTCAAAATTATTAAAATAATAAATTTATTTTATTTAAAATAAATAATATGATATAGGCCGACCTGTAGGTTTATGGGCTCGATCTGTACAAAAAAGCCTATGACTTATTTTTTAACTAGTTTTTTTTAAAAGTTCAAACCTGTTCTACTTTACTATTTATAATAGGACAAACCTGACTTAATATAGGCTAGGCCGTATGCCATTGTAGGCCGGCTCAAGCCATTTACACCCTTACCAGTAGCAAATGTAAAAATAAATGATTTCGATGCAATTAAACTTTAATTTAAGGGATTTAAAATTGTCCTTTAATTGCATAAGTTTAAATCTTTCTGGCAGACACAGTTTGGGTGGGTCTTACACACACAAAATATAGAAGGGCAAAGATCAAAGGATTAGTGAAAATAAATTTTTTTGAATGAGAAATATAACTCTCTTAATTTAGACGTTGATATTTTTAAAAATAAAAAGAAATATAAAATTATTTTAAAGCATTAAGTTGATATATTTTTTAATTAAGATAATACGTAAGCTGGTATTTTTTAAATATGTAATAAGATTTCTCTATATTTTTTCATGATTAGAAGAAGATTGAGCTGGATTTTATAAAATAAAATAATACATCTGTCGTGAATTTAAGAGCAAAGAAAAAAGTTAAAGGTGTAGGAGGATATATGCAGTGTGGATCCAAATCCAACAAAAGCAGCGCATAAACATGACCGCTAAAGTGAACAAGTGTCGGCAGCAGCTGGTTCACGAGCGAGGAACGCGATTATTGTGCACTCAACCAATTTTGTACCCACTTACTGTTAGTTGAAGGGCACCGCTCACTCACGCTGGATCAGTGGTTCCAGCTACAAAATCATGGGCCATTACATACTGATTGCTGAATATTTACCAATCCGAAAATTTTATAAACGCAGAATATTAATAAGAATTTCTAATTTTATAAAAATATTGAATTGTATTAAAAATTATGCTATTGTATATTTTATAAGGAGCTGCTTCTCTATAGCCGCTACAGAAAGTTATTGTCTCCAGTTGAGATAATAAAGTGGGTTTTACTATTTATTTTTATTTTTTTTAAAAAGCCAAGATCTGTATGTGTATCCTAGAATCTGTAAGCATATCCTGGTATGTTGTATGTACAGATCCTGGTCTGCTGTATGTACAGAAGTTGCATAAATGATATTGCCATTATACAAATTTAATAAATTTTAATTATGTACAAAAGAAAATTTTACATGCAAATTGATTGCTTTATATTTTGTTATCTTAATACTCCACATTCTTTTTTCTCACTTTAGTTCCTATCAATGATGATCACTTTTAAGTCAAAGTAGAAAACCAAAGTTTCAGGAAACAAAAAATACCCGTGAACGATTTTTTTATTTTAAAATGTTGATACTAAAATTAAAAGTGTTATGTGGAAGAAAATAAACGAATAAAATATGTATAACTTTTTTTGGTAACATTTTTTTTGTAGGGTTTGGTGTTTGTCATTTTAAATGACATAAGTTATGTCATTTTAAGAAAGAAATAGACACATAAAAACGAAAATCATGAGAGAGAGAAAGTATGTGATTTTTTTTAATTTAAAATTCAAATTTTATGTGTCTGTATCTCTATTAAAATAACATAAGTTTCTGTCATTTAAAATGATAAATACTTTTCCCTTTTTTGCTTTTGTTTGGTAACAAAATATGTATAACTTACTTTCAAATTAAATTGTGTTTGTAATCTAATTCAATGGAGTGAAATTGAATTTAGGTATACTCACATGAAACATTGAAACGTGTGGAGTTTTTGCTAAGTGATTTACTGTGTCTTCGTTAGGACTTAAAACGTTTGAGATGGGGAATGCTTGCAGCAGAGGCCTACAAAGTACAAAGCCTGCTTGTTTCCATCCTAACCCATATAATGTAAAGCTGATAGATTCACCTGCAATGGGTTTCCTTTGAGCCCAATCCACCAAGGCCAACTTGTTTTAAAATATGTGTTTACATCATGGTAGGTTTTGGTTACATATTTTGCCGCTCTCCTTGTTAATATTTTACTTATAAGGTTGAAGTTTCAGTATATTATTTGTGCACGTCATCTTTTAGTCACATGATATTTGAAAAATGGAAAGTGTTAAAAAGGTAATAACATAAAATCTCATGCCACTTATTATTATTACTCACAACATTTGATACACTAGAAAAATTAGGATTAATAAAATAAATTCCAAATTAGTGAATATATACGGCTTAAGTATTTTACTAACTATTTTGTTTTCATCCCAATTTTGATTTGTTTAAACTCAATAGCAATAAATTCACATTATTTTCATGTTCTCTATTTTAGTTATCCTAACTATTCTGTATTTACTTTTGAAAAATTATACACTTATATTACATGAGAGTTATCTCTCATATTACACTCACATAAAAAGATGTGTTTTTTTTTTTTTTCTTCTTCTTTTTTTAAGAAAAATTAATGGATTTCACTTTATTTATCTCACAACATAAAATAATTTCTTTTATACTACATAAGAGAAGTAAAGCCCTTTACTTTTTGAGAAAAACTCATTTTATAGAAAATAACAAATTATCTTCTACTTAAACAGAAAGTTATCTCCTACTCAAAAAAATTGCGGAGCCGCCATTTTATTTTTATTTTTATTTTGACACAAAAGTCAACGTGAGGGCACAAAGTATTTCTTTTCTGCTGAGACAACCATTGCCCTTACCTTTTATTTTCTCATTTATGTAGCTTTATAATATCCTTTTCTCGGTTATTGAGTAATTCGACTGCCCTTCTCCATTTTAGATTTAGTAACTATTGGGTATTTACCTTTTCTCATTTGGTTACCACTTGAGTTTTTTTTTTAATAAGTTTAAGTAATATATTTTTCATGAAAAATTTACATGAAGTATGCTTTTAAGGATATATGTGTGTTTGTGTGTGATGATGATGAAATTTTTCCGAGGTAGACAAAAAAGCGGAATTTAAAACAAGAGAAATTATTGATTGTATATACAAGAATCTGTAATTAAAGTAAGAGAATTAGAGGAATTAATTTGGATTAGTAGTTGGAACTTGAATTTGGAATCTGAATGCATTTGTGACTTTTGAACCAAATTCAGAAAATGAACAATAAACTGCCATATATTTGTGCCAAACAATGCAGAGACTGGTGATTAGTGCACCTACACCTTACAATATATTGTTACTTAATTTTATTTTATTTTGTAAATATATTGTTACTTAAATTTGGGGCTTTTATTTGTTTGTTTGCTGAGCTTTGATAGGTTGGATTAACTTTTTTGTTGTTGTTGATGTTATCATTATTTATTAATATCTCCACTAAATAAAATTAGAGTGGATATTAGTAAAGTGAAAAAATAAATAAATTAAATATAAATATTTTTTTTGATTAAAAATAATTTCTAAGTCATTGTATAAAACGATAATTGTTTTAAACTAAATAAAAAATATTTTTTGTATTTAAATAAACAATATTTTAAAATATAAGAGAGTAACGTGGGCATGCAGCTAGGTGTCAAACGGTAATTTGTTATTAAGTAACACAGCCATCATTTTATTGAATTTGAACACCTCATCATCTCAAGGAGAGAGAATGGGCGTGTTTGAATTTTTTGAGTTCTTGTAGAGTATTTCTCAGCCGAAAATGAAAGGCTAATAATTTTTGAGATATAGCGATTACCGAAATAAGTTTTATCTTTATTGATAATATTTTTTTTCATATACTCAATTACAAATTGAACCTCTGCCAATATGCTTAAGAGACTCAATTATCTATTAATTATGTCGAATTTCGTTAGTTGTTAATTGTTTACTGTTAATTTTTTCATATATTGAATTGTTTATTGTTAATTAAAAGAATCAGTTAAATAATTTTAATAAAAGTAATATTATTTTATTTATTTAATTTAATTCTGATTAAATATTGAAAATTTCATAGATTTAAATAGGCTAAAAAATTTAGGATAGGTCTTTTATTTATTTAAATATAAGTGAAACAAATCTTACATCAGATTATTCAACCAGGTCAAGCGTAAAATTTCTATATAGATTTAACTTATTTAAATTAAAGTTTAACATGACCGGTTGATTTAACCCCCGCATCGGAGGCTTATGAGGGTAGTGAATCCTGAAACCTAATGTGTCCTTGAATTGGTCACAAGTTCTCCAAGTCAAGTATCCCATCCCATGTGAAACAAATCGTCAAACACGGCAAAGTTGGGAGTACGCATCCATCCCCAAATTTCAAACCTATGTTCCCCACGTGATACGCCGTTTGTTTGTGGCATACTTCTCGCGCCCATACCCCAATTCCTAATCTCCTCTTACTAGCGGGCGTTACAATTAACACCAACCAAACCAACCGGCTTTACATGACTTCAATTCTTTGCGTTCCTCCTTAAATTAATCGATGCAACCCTTAAGTATTCTCTAATTTAGTGTATTATATCAATTCATTCTCATCTCATTTACAAGGAAAAGACACATGGAATCTCAATAATTCATCCACTAAATGATACCCTACCATATTTGTCTTTAAGGTAATTTTCCTTTTATTAAATTTCAAATCAAGCCCCCGATGGCTCTTTGTTTATTTATGCGTTAAAGACTTATGATATTATATGAAAAGAATATCTTTTCCTGTACACATAACAAACATGTCAATCTCATTGAAAAGAGGAAAGATAAATTTTTTTAGTGGAATCTACATCTTTCTTATGTGTGTGTAGGAGAATAAATTCTTCTTATATAACATTAGAAGTCTTTAATCCTTTGTATATAAGTTTGATGTTTATCATTTTAAAGGACATAGAATTATGTCATTTTAAGTAAGAGAATGACATAAGTAATAGAAATTATCGGAAAAGAAAATCAGTATTTTTTTAATTTCAATTGTAAATGAAAAAATATTAGTTTGTATCTTTCTCCTACTTAAAATAACACAATTAAATATTTTTATCTTTATTTATTGGGTAAAGTATTTCTCCCGTCAATGGAGATAAGTTATATCCAGTGAGTCCAAAATGATGTCGTTTTAGGACAGAAATCAAGGTGCTTTTATAATTCTAATATATTGCAGGGTTATATTAGTCTTATCATTATGATTTTTTAATTTTAGGGGGATGTATTAGATTAGGATTTTGAAAGACTTTTTTGAGATAAAAAATCTATAAAGATTTTAAAAGATTGTTTAGAATTGAACGGACTTTAAATACTTTTTTAAAAGATATTTTTTACAATCAAGATTTCATAAAATTAGATTTCAAAGGATTTTAATAGAATTTATAAGATTTGAAAGGACAATATGAATTTATAAGATTTTAAAAAATCATATGAATTTTTAAGAAACATTCAAAATTACAAGAGTCAATAAAAAAATAACAAAGAAATGCAATGATATTAATAAAAAAAAAGTAAAACCTGATATAATTTTCTCAATCAATAAAACTTAATATAATATTTAACAAACATTCAAAGTCACTTAGCAACAACTCTCCACATATCTAAAATTATACTAGTCCTCCATGCTTTAACATTTTCTCGTTCATGCTCTTGGGTTTGACCAATGAGTTTAAAATTATTTTCTTCATTTGGTATCAAAGCTATGCATATATGATTATAAGATCTAATTTTTATTTATTTATTAAAATAATTCTAAATTTACATATAGAACCTAAAGTTCATGATAAATATCATTTGGAATTTTTTGCAATTGATCCTGAAAATCTTGAGATTTTTGTTCTACGTGATGAGAGTTTTCTAACCATATATCATATGCATATTTTCATTGAGTATTCTAAGAAAATTTTGAATTTGAATTTATGGGTTTTATTACATTAAAGTTTAGAAAAATTCTCAAATTATTTTCAATCGATACATTAAAACCTTAAATTGTTTTTGGGCTTTTGAAAAAAAAAAATTTAGTTACCTATTGATTCAAAAATTGTTTGAAATCATTTCCTATAGCGAAAGAATTTTGTTTGTGAATGTATTGTTATGAAATATAGGGTTTATATTAAGAAAGTTTCAATCTTTCTTTAGATTGATCTTGCTTTATTGATGTAAAATGAAAATTGGTTTGAGGATTTTATGTTATTTTTAATTCAAAAATCATAGTTTTTTGTGCCAAAAAAAAATCGCGACCATAACTTGAAAAATCATTTTTCAAACTTCCAAAAACTCTAAAAAATATGCTGTTTTTTAGATGGATTATATTAGAATCTTATTGGTTTGTTTTTCTGGATTGTTTTGTAATGAAAATCGCTAAAAAATCAGCTGCTTTTGAGCTTTAACGAAGCTCCCATGGCGGAACTCGGTTTTGAGCGGGTCAACCCACCAAAGAAAGAAGAAAACACTGCAATAGAGAAATATCAATAAATCATAGGGGTTTGGGTGAGATTGTGAGAGAGACATCCTATTCATATTTCTCACTAAAAAGTCTCACGAAATCCACACCAATAGAAAATCATTAAAATCGTAAGATTTTTGAATACCACAAGATTATTTTTCTTTTGTTTAAAATTCTGATTGAATACTAAAGGATTTGGATGGACTCTAAAATAATATTTTAAAATCCTAATCGAATACCATGCGATTTTTTTTTTTCAGTCCTTTCAAATCCTAATCGAATACCTAAGAATTTTTTTGTCCACAAATAATCCATTAAAATTCTTTGAAATCCCAATCTAATACACTCCTTTATAACCTAAAATAATATCATTTTGAACTCGTTGGATATAATTTTATCTGCATGACAAATACTTTTCAAATCACACAACACAACACAACTAAACGTCACCTAAATCAAACGTTTCCCATCGAACTTTGTTGGGGTTGGGTATCAAAACGAGGAAAGCCCAACAAAGTTAAACAGCCCAAGTCCCATGTTACCAACTAGGACATTGTATTATAGCGTATATTAAACTATCCATTACTGTCGTCTCTTCTCCACTCAAAGTGAATCACTCGAAATTTCGATTTCATAACCTCCTTTCAGATTTGGGCGAAACCCCAATCGCATTGAATGTTTGATCAGCTGAATCTCCGCTAGATCCCCTCTCTTGCACGTTTCCACCCTCTTCAAAAACCGAGAACCAAACCCGTCCCTGATTAAATCACTTCAGGGTTAGGGTTAGGGTCAGGGTTAGGGTTATCTCTAATGGCGATCTCCGATAGTGTGGTGAAGAAAGTGATCCTGTCATACACGTACGTGGCGATATGGATCTGCCTGAGCTTCACGGTGATCGTGTACAACAAGTACATACTAGATCGGAAGATGTACAACTGGCCGTACCCGATCTCGTTGACCATGATCCACATGGCGTTCTGCTCCTCCCTCGCATACATGCTCGTTCGCGTGTTGAAGCTGGTGGAGCCTGTTTCAATGTCCCGCGAGATGTACCTTAAATCGGTGGTCCCCATCGGTGCACTCTACTCCCTCTCCCTTTGGTTTTCCAATTCCGCATATATCTATCTCTCTGTTTCTTTCATTCAGATGCTGAAAGCCCTTATGCCTGTCGCTGTCTATTCAATTGGGGTCTTGTTCAAGAAGGAAGGTTTTAAGAACGAAACCATGGCAAACATGGTTTCGATCTCTGTTGGTGTTGCGATTGCTGCTTATGGTGAAGCCAAATTCGATGGTTGGGGTGTTACTCTTCAGCTTATGGCTGTTGCTTTCGAGGCCACTCGCTTGGTTTTGATCCAGATTTTGCTTAATTCCAAGGGGATTTCGCTTAACCCTATTACCTCTCTTTACTACATTGCTCCCTGTTGTTTGGTGTTCTTGTCTATCCCCTGGCTTATTGTGGAGTACCCTTCGTTGAGGGATAATTCTAGCTTCCATTTGGATTTTGTGATTTTCGGGACCAATTCCACTTGTGCTTTTGCTTTGAATCTCGCTGTGTTCTTGCTGGTTGGAAAGACTTCGGCTTTGACAATGAATGTTGCTGGGGTTGTCAAGGATTGGCTACTGATTGCATTCTCTTGGTCTGTGATAAAGGACACGGTCACTCCCATTAACTTGATTGGTTATGGATTGGCGTTTTTGGGGGTTGCGTATTATAATCATTCCAAGTTGCAGGCTCTCAAGGCTTCTGAGGCTCAGAAGAAGGCTCAGCAGGCTGATGAAGAGGCTGGAAGATTGTTGGAACAGAGAGAAGGGGAAGGCACTGGGAGGAAGAGCGAGAACCAGAACTGAATCACTGATTGAACTGGTGATATCTTTTCTTGGATACAAAGAGGACATGTTTGTTACTGTTCGATTCATGTTGGATGAGGCAGGTTTTGTTTTTGGGTATGTGGTGTACCGCTGTACTTCTATTAGGTGATTATTAGTATTATTATTATTATTGTTACTTCTCCCTGTTTAATTTCCTTACCCTTTTGGGGCTGCGATTGACATTTGTCCCTTATATTACTGATTCAGTGGTTTGTGTTTACCACTGGAGAATGAATTAAGCATTGTGGATGTTCCAAAAGTTTATCATTGAATAGCAAAGTTGATGATTGTTATGTCTTAAGTTTGCGTTTGTGCTTGTGTTTGTGATATTGAACAATTCTTCTGTTTCAACTCCACTCCCCTGAAATGTCTTGTTTTTCTCGTACAAAAGATGCATTGTAAGTAGTGGAGAAATTTTATCATGTCTGTAACCTGAGCACACACATCTTTTTTGGTTTAGGTTATACTTTCTGCACGATCACTGCTCGTTTCTTTTAGAAACACCATCTACATTGTTTCCTATCCATAGTCAGTTTTCAAGTTTGGAACCCCCTGGTCGCCTCCTAAAAACAAGAGAATGGACCTGCTTGTTTCATCATTTGTTTTCTATACTCTGTTTTGTTGGATTTGCTTGGGTCATTCGAACTTAGTGGACTTATGTGAGATCGCTAGTTGGTAGTAACCATACGTGAGACGAGCGATTACCTCTAATTCTTTTCATCACGCATTTGTAGCTTCCACTTTTGCTTGCTTGGTTGTGGTTGCTGCCATTTCTCGCTTCATTGTGTAGTAGATCTTGATATGTTGCTTCTGAGGGTATATGCTGCATACGATGTTCTGCTATTTGCTTGTGGGGGCATCTATCTCTAATGGAGCTTTGCGTCTTTCATTATTATCGTTGAATAAAAATGGAAGACAATGTAAGTCTACTTGTCACAGGATCCCAAGTGATTTTAAGTTGAGATATACTGTGTTTCTGGATTGCTTATACGAACGGTTCAATTACGCCTAACCTAAAATATTGATTGTGCGTCGTTTGTTGGCGTAGTGGAAAATATTAGACCGTTCAATTACAGCTGTTGAGATTTAGGAGATTAAAGTAGAAACCATCAGAATCGAACGAGGTTAGTCTAATGGTTAAGAAGCGCTACTTGCATAGATTAGTTAGGTTTTAATCTTTGATGCCAGGGATATGCCTTTTAATGTTCTTTGGAAAAACTTCATAATGGGGATAGAGGTGTCAAACAATGAATGGACATCTAATTGTAGTGTAGAAGATGGAATTACTTTCTTCTAAGTGGAATTATAAATTTTTAATGCAACACGTGGACCTGCATTATTGTTAAATCGCGAATCTTTATGTTGGTGTGACATATATTGGCTCTATTCTATTTATTGAAATAAGAGCTGAAACTATGAGAAGAAAACAAATAGGCCCAAACCATTTCCTTTTAAAATATCGCTTAGTCTGGACCATCTATCAAGTTGGTCACTCCTGGTGGCGGAAGCCCTTGACGAGTTGTTAGCTTCAATCTTGGGGTGGGACAGAGTTTTGTCGGAGTCTAATTGTCTTTATATTGTAGGAGGAGGGATCTAGATCCGGAATTAGGAGGTAAGTTCCATTTTATGATATATTCAACAGAAATTCCGGATTTTATAGTTTTCTCTTCAATAGATGCGAAGCGGCCAACCTGGCTCTCCAATTGGATGAGAGTTCCTTGACTTCTCGTGTTTTGTTTGATGTGTTAGAGCTTGGGCTTTTGACCATTGTATGGTATAGTTTGGTGTTTGTGCACCGATGATCTATCTATAACAAAGGCAATGTTTCTTCCACCTATTTTTATACGGAAACCTTTCGAAAAGGATGTGAGAGAAAACAATGGTTAACTAAACTTCAACTATGCATATTTTTTCATAAAAATATTTCTGCAACTTAATGCAAATAAGTTATCTGCATTTACTTTCAAAACGACGTCGTTTTGAAAGTGAAAGATTAGAAAATTATAATTATAATTATAAAGACTATAATAACCCTGAAATAAATTAAAATTACAAAAATATTATGATTTCTGTTCCAAAACAATGTCGTATTGTACTTATTGCAGATAACTTATATGCAGTAACGGTAGAAAAAGCGAACCCATATTTTTTATACACTTTATTTTGAATATAATAGTTGATGTAGTGTACATTTAATAATGCATAATAACGTAAATCTTTTATGCATACACACCTAAGAACCTCTAGTAGAATCAATCAATGAGGAATTGAAGATAACGCAAGTTTGGTATAAAAAATAGGAAAATGTGAGATTCAATTGATTATAATTATAGATGAGTGCGTAAAACAATCAGGTATAGTTTATTTTTTACCCTCTCTTGTACGTGATGGACTGAGTCATTCAATAGTACAGGAGCGTTAAAAATATTTTTGTTTTTGGCTGAGAAGAACTCTTCTATGGATAATCAAAAATTCATAAAGAAAGATTCAAGGGGTAGATTCTATCAGACGAAAGCCATTCTTTTTTATCTAAGGAGGCATTCCACGCAAGACAGTGGTTCCACTTCATAAGACAACGGTGAAAAGGGAAAGCAAAAGAGTTTATATGTGCATCATCCAATATAGCCACGATCTCATCTAACGGTCAAGGAGGCAAGGAACATTAAGATCTTTAAAAACCTAAGACAAGTAAATTGCAAAACTAAATAGACACAATAAGAGAGACTATTTTTGTTTTTCTTTGAGAAAACTTCATAAAATCTCCAGGGATTTGCTTCTAAATCATCATTTGTGCTTTGATTCATAATCAATTACCCCCTTCTACTTGTAAATAGACACAATAAGAGAGACTATTTTTGTTTTTCTTTGAGAAAACTTCATAAAATCTCCAGGGATTTGCTTCTAAATCATCATTTGTGCTTTGATTCATAATCAATTACCCCCTTCTACTTGTTTTCCATTCAAATTTAACTAATGGTGTAAATGCTTATTCGGAAATCATGCTCTCGTGCTACAGGAGAGCAAATTTTTTTTTTACACAAATTTATTTTCTGTGCCAATTAATTTTCTTTTTCTTTTATAATATAAAATGTGAAACCCACATTTAATTTGTCTCTACTTTTTTTATCTCATGCTATCCTACAACATAAGAAAATATGAACCCATGCTTATTATAGCTTTTTTCTTTTAAATACATTATTCTTTTTTTCTCTCTGAATTCTCTTCTCAATCTAGGATTCATAGGTCAGCCCTTCTCCTCTTCTTTTTGGTATGTTGGAGTCAACACACCTCAATCTTCTTGCGGCTCCAATCTTTTACAGGTTTTAGGTACTTGATTTTTTGGACAGGTTTTAAAGTTTTTTGGACAGGTTTTGGGTACGTACTTGATTTTTTGGATAGGTTTTAAAGTGAAAAATTATATTATTTTTGGGCTGGAAAAATGTGACTTTGTGGCTGGAAGAATGTGATTTTTTGGTCAATCTTTATTTATTATAGCCCTAAGATTGGTTAATCAGTGTTTTGTTTAGAGGCTAAAATGAGCTTTGCTCATCAAAGTAAAAATCTTTTATGTGACGCAGATCTGTGTATGTGCATTTTTTGGGAAAAAAAGAATAAAATATATTTTGGGTCATTAACAAAAAATTACAGGACTCAATTCAATCTCTTAAAAAAAAAGTAAACTTATGATTCTTTTAAATTTCATGATAGATCCATGTTATTCTTTTTGAGAGATTAATGTGGGTCTTTTTGAATTTCAGAGGACCATATTTTGATTATCTGGATCTATTTTTGAATTCTGAGGTATTACGAGTAGACTTTTTTTTTTTAAGAAATTAAATTGATGCCCATAATTTTTGTTGAGAACCCAAAATGTTCTATTGTAACAGTTTAGTTGACTCTTGATTATTTTTTTTATATTAGGTTAAAGTTTTTTTTTTGTTTGTTTATATTCTTTTATATTTTAATATATTTAAAATTTTCTTTAATTTTTTTTTCTTTATTCTTTTATTTTAAGTGTTCAGACTTCAGACATTAAAAAAAATATCTAGCGGGCAGAGGCATGCCGATAGTGAGCTACGTTTTGTGCAAATGGTATGTTCATATAGACGCTAAAATTGGATTCAATTGTACGTTTACATGTTCTTGGAATTATGTAATACTTTATAGATTATTGTAGATAGCTAACGACCTATGTTTGACTTTCTTCTGCAAAAATGAGGTTTTTCCTCCTCACACTCGCCAGATGCTAAAGCAATGGTTTAGAATCAACATAAGTGCAATATCAAAATTAATGCCAAGTATGGTTGTTACGACTTACGACTAAGTGTTTCCATATCCATATCCATTTAATTGCTGATAAGATGGAAAAGAAAAGAATCGGGACGTGGCTATCATAAGAGATAGCCTTTCGTATTTCTTCAACGGATAATAACTGTATTATAAAGCAGCACACATAAAGAAGAAAAGAAAATTTGGTCCTATGTATAGTGAGATGTCTCATATATATTCCTTTCAGGTGCTGATAAGACAGCAAAAACATGAAGGTGTACACCATGCCACTTTGTATCTAGGGATCCTTTGACACAACTCATGTAGTCGAATCAGCAAACTACAGTGAAGAATTCGTGGTCTGAGTATAGCGCTTTAAGTCAACGAAGAGTTCGCCATAATTAGAGTTTGATCCAAATTAAATCTTTGTTTTGTTTTTTTTTCGTTTGTTTTTTCCTACTTTGATGGCACATTCCAAAGTTATTTACCGTCATTATTATGTCACGAGTTGTTATCTGTTAGGATATTAAAGTGTAATGAGTTTCACATTAGTTGATAATGAATTAAGTGAAATTCATATAAGTGGGAAGATCCATAACTCAATCCCTTAAGGTTTTGAATTGAGAGAGTATGTCAAACTCACTTGATATGATTGTGTTACTATCCCATTTGCAAGGTATGAGACTTGGAGTTCCACATTGGTTATACGAGCAACTAATGTAAAATTTATAAGGTCTTGAGCACTCTCATCTTTTGAGCTAGCTTTTAAGACAGTATACTTCAAGATTCTTATCATAATGGCCTAGCTTAAATCATAATTCGCATTCTATTAAAATAATAAATTAAAGTGATTATTAAACTAATAATTTTCAATGATGATAAATAATTTATAATATAAAGGTTTGAGGTACGAGAGAAAGTAAAAAGAGATGAAATAATTTATAACACATAGTTGCAAACCTTGGAGAAATGAAGAGACAGTTACCCAAGATAATTTAATTTAAATTTTATTTTTAATAATTTAAATTTAATTCAATAGCTTGTACAATCATGCCGTCCATGTACTATATTTTAATTTGACCTGGTATAGTACTTTCAAAATATATTAGAATTTCTCTAAATTCTTTATTGGTAAAATTAAATATGAACTTAATAAACCTATCACACATAAAGGGAATATATTAATCGAAAGAGTAGGAAAAAAAATATCGATCATTTATATAAGATTAAATAGTTTATATATATATATATATATATATATATATATATATATAATTTTAAAATAATCTTAATAAACTTCTTGATTTAAGAGAGCGGCTCTTAATTTTTTGGAAAAGTATGAACACACTGTGCCCAGTACTAGCCAAACAGAAGTATGAAAACTGATCATGGTTTGACGTAGATGTGAAAAACTCTCAAGCTTGTTGAGATTTACGGAATCAATCACAAATGGAAATTTGAATATCTGAATTTAATTATATTCTGCATTTTATGTTCACTTAATATTCACCGTAGGTTTATGAGTGTAATGTGTTCTTGTTTATGATTGACATGCAAAAGTTGTGTGATTAAAAAGACATGCACATTTGCATTTGTAAGTTATCAATTGAAATTATCCTTTAATGTATAGACAGCGACAAAAAAAAAAAGCTAAAGGAAAATTAGAAAGCAAGCTTGATTGAGCAAAATGTAACAAGGGCTTGAAAATACCAGATAATATGTTACACTTTTACACATAGAAGTCAACCTGAATATTATTTCTATAATATCAACCAAAGCTCAACCCATTCTTCGTTTCCACACATAATAACTGCCTATGAACAAATCAACAAAAACTAAAAAGTTTTCAGCACCTCTCTTCAGGCAAGGACCCATTAACTTGCTCCATTTGCAGAGATGGCTTAGGTTTCTTAGGCTTGTACCAGATTGCACATACCACAAATGCTACAAAATTAATGAAACTAAGTATAGTAAGCAGTGCATAGAACAAATCAAGCCTCCCTTTGTTAATATTATCAGCTAGCCATCCCTGCCTATCTTTTGTCTCAGTTAATTTCTTCACAACCGAGACAAGGAAGCTGCTAACAAAGAAACCAAGAGATAATGTTGTGAGAAAGAGACCAGTGCTCATGGTTTTCATTCCTTTTGGGGATTGTGTTATGAAGAAATCAAGTTGGCCAGTGTATATGAATGCTTCACCAGAACCCACCAAGAAGAACTGTGGGATTAGAATGAAAACACTTATAGGCAGTGTTGCTTGGTTGCCGCTCACACCTTTTGCCACTGACAACCTTTTCCTCTCACATAGAAAAGCAGCCACCATTCCAAAAGTGGACAATATAAGACCAATTGCAATCCTTTGTAGGTTGGTAAAACCTGGGACACGGAGAAAGACAGAACATATATATGTTAATGATTTGGTTCAAAAAAATTTGGTAAATTATTTGTATCCAAATTTCGGTATTCAGTTGACTATATATATATATATATATATAGTGAAAACTGGTATGGAGGGTTATTTTATGGTTTTGCCATCAAGTGTAAACGTTAATTACATGGGTTGCACATGATCATCTTAACCATGACAAAACCATTTCATATTCCCTTCTACAATTTTTTTTACCTTGTTTGCCGTTCCACTTCTTCCAAAGGGGCATGATGAGTCGGTCATTCACAGCCAGAGTGATTAAGATTGCTGCTACAAAGAAGACTGTGAGAGAGCCAGCTGGGATTTGGAAACTACCAATATTCCTTTGCATGGTGGAGGCTTGCTCCACTGAAAATGTGATCATCTGTGCGTATGTGGTCCAAAATATGATTGTTGTGGCCCATACTGGCAGAAGTCTCAACATCATTTTCACCTCCTCTATCCTTGTCAGTGAGCATAGTTTCCATGGGGATGGAGTATAACCAGATAAATTCTTTTCAAAATCACCTTCTGCCACAATGGCAGCTTTATCCAAGAAACTACATAATTGAAAAATATTCATTACAAAAAGAGAGAGAGAGAGAGAGAAGGAGGAAATTGTTAGTTCAGACAATTTCATAAAACATTTAAACCCCACAAAAGGATTAGTTAGCTTCCACAAGGGTAGATGAAGATTAGCTTACCGGAACTGATCAGTGTGCTCTATTCTTGAAGACTCTGGAGTGTCCTCATACAAAGAGCCAACATTGTGTGGGAGTTCCATCTTCCTTTTCCTTATTGCTGCAACAATAACTTGGAAAATGTGGACAATGGGGCTTCCCAAACTTTTCTTGAACCTGTATCTTTTAGTTCCTGATATGAAGATCAAAATGGCTATGACCATGGAAACAGAACATATTCCATACGCCCAACTTCGACTCACTTTATCTTGTATATAAACAAGTACTGTGACGGCTGCCAGAGTTCCAAAACTAATGAAGAAGAAAAACCTGTTGAAGAAGAAGGCCATCTGGGATTTCTCCTTCTCATCTTTCTCATCAAATTGGTCAGTACCAAATCCTGAAATACTAGACTTTAGGCCACCGGTTCCTAGTGCAATAAGGTATAGAGCCAAGTATAAGATTCCCATTTGGAATCCGGTGGCTTGTTTGCAACTGCTAGGGGTAGCATGGCAAGGTGGTGGACGTAGCTGTGGTAATTTTGTTGAGATTGCTAATGTAGCAGTACCCTGAAATCACCATCCCCTCCAAGTTAAAACTAGGGATAATACATAAAATGATAATAATGCATGCTTGGCTTTGATCAGAAATTTTTTCGCTGCATATAAATGAATATGTCAAAATAAGGTTGATATTTTATGAGGAATGTAATTTATAGGCTTAAATTCAATAGTAATGTAACTAACCAGTGTTTGTATTGCTGCAAAGATTCCAATTGTCTTATATCTGCCAAGGAAGGAATCAGCTAGAAAACCTCCAAGCAAACACAGGAGAAATGATGTTCCCATGAAGTCAGTCACTATATTGGCTGAAGTTGAGCTTGGCAAATGCATGATTCCCATCAGGTATGTCACCAGGTTGACTGCAATCCCTATGGTGGAGAGCCTCTCAATGATTTCAATCCCTGCAAGAATTTTGAGGATCACCTTATACTCTGAGATTTAATGTAATTTATTTCTACATAGACATCAACGTCAACACCACTTTTATATCACATTAATTGTGGTCGATAGTAGATGAATTCAAAAAAAAATGATACGAAAAGATTGAGAAAAAAATAATAAAGTAAACTTTAAGTATATATATATATAATATTATCCATACAAAATTAGTACACAATTATAAGGAAAAATAAATTAAAATAAAATACAAATAAGAATATATAAGGAAACAAAAAAGAATAAGAAGGTAAGAGATAAGAAATAAATAAATAGATAAATGAAATTAAAATAAAATAAAATAATATAAAAAGGAATATAGGAAAAAAAAACACATGCATAAATAAATAGCTAAGAGAAAAAAGATTGAAAGAAAAAATGAAATAAAAGGAAAAAGAAAGAGAGGGGGGAAATGTAATTTATTTATTCTATGAAAAATAATATTGGTATTTAGTCATATACTCTCAGAAGGAAAAAAAACGATCTAATCTTATTAACAGCAGATATATGGAAAGCTTTGTACTGCTCTTTGTCGGCTTCATCTTTTGTGCACCAAAAAAAAAAAAAAAAGGAGTGAAAAGGATTAGAGAGAGAACCAGGGTGACTAGCACATGTGTCATATAAAATAAAGTAAAATATTTTTGTTGGTAAGTGGAGACTGTTGTTGGAGGGACAACTGTAAGTGAACAGTGAACTTTAATATATTAAAAAGGCAGAAAATGCGTAAAGTAAAACCCAACTCTTAGAAAGTAGGGTGATAAAGCAAGATTAAAAATGTATAGACGAAATGGAATATCGTTATATTCATTCACATCACAAAGTATATATATGACATTATGGTCTTTTTACCCAAGTTCAAACAGAAAGTGACATATTAATTATCCTCAGTCAGAAATATGTGTGTGCTTTTGGCTATAATCTGTTCCACTTGGTTTGTCTACTTCCTCAGCCGCAATCATCGTCCCAAAAACATTAGATAGAATCAAATGGAGTGGAGTAATAAAGCAGTTTTCTGTATAAGACCATTCATAGTCCAACTAACACCTTAAACCATAGTTGTTAGAATCTATTTTTTATTTTTATGAATCATAGGTTTTAACCATCATTTCCTTATTTTGTAAGTACCTTTTTTTTTTGTAAGTACCTTAAACTGTAAGTACCTTATTTGGTTATATGATTGCTCTGATTTGTTTTTCTAAAAAATTGGCCTCATTCATTTTATATTACTTAGTTATGGCTTTTGATTTTGTTTTGTAAAATTTATGGTTAAGTTATTTTGTCAATTTCTATTATAAAATTATTTCATTCAACATTATATATTTATTTAATATATTTCAAGTTATCTTTTATTGTATCTCTAAATTTTATGATTCAAACATTAGCTTAATCATTCACGATTTAAATCTCCAAATTTTATTACACATGTGTGTGTTAGAGCCATGTTTGCTTCAAGCTACTATTTGCTAGGAGGAAAGCATTTTAAAGATAATAAAATCATTCACAAGCCTCAACTTCTTAAAAAAATGTTAGTTAGTCTTTGATAATGCAAACTTCCAAGTGAGAAAGGATGGAACCCCAAATATGGATCCTATTCTCTAAACTAAGTACTTTGTATACACCAACACCCTATCTGTTTCTTCATCACCATTTGATTAACCACCCAATTTGTCTTTTTACCCTGAAATATGTGAATCACCTACTTATAACCAAAAAAAAAAAAAAAAAAAAAAATGCAAAACTCTATCAATGAAAGCATCACCATCTATTACTTCTCACATGAAGGCGATGGATGAGATTTTCATTTTGTCTGGAGAATCATATATTAATTAACATATTCTGAGTCTTCTAATAAGAGCAAGTTGCATAATCAAGAGGAGATAATAATAAGGTTACTATTACTAGTATTACAAACCTAAAATAAAAGCAGCGGGTACCCAACCACCAGTTTTGGACCTGTCAGCAGGGAAGCCTTTATAGTCCACAGCATCTGCAACTGTCCAACTCATCTTCCCCTCCTGAAACACAAGGACAAAACATTTTTGAAAAGCAGGTAACAGTTATAGTTACAACTGCCATTGACCAAACACTACTCAGAAACTGATCACAAACGCAGTACTAACCATTTTCTTAAGTTCCAGCAAAGAAAAGAACTAGAAATACTAAAGTAGAAAGCTAGGAAGCTTTGCTCTTGTAAACTTCAACTCACAACTTAAGTTTGTGATGAGAGCTTCTCCATTTATAGGGAAAGAGAGGACTCAACAAATACCAATAAGAACCTAGATATGACCTACCACTATGCATTTGAGACAGATCACTGCTTGTTTAAATTTTTTGTTTTTTGAGTAAAGGTAGGGAGCAGGTTTCACACAATTTTTGGTGGAGGGTTCCAGGATAAATTCAAACTTCGTTTTCAGACCAGATATTTGTAATTAGAATAATATTAAGTAAATATAAAGGTGATAATGATTAATAAGGAGAGAATTGGAAATGTGAAGAATCTGGAACATGCAACAATAACAAGCAAAGATTGATTTGGATATGAAGGCTGTTTAGAAACTCCACCACCGGCCAACTCTTCCAAGTGCTTTTGCTACCCCACATTTGAAAAGGATCTCCCACAGCCTTTAGTTTTTCTGTGTAGGTAGAAATAGAAATGCTCCTTGTCTCGAGGATTCTTGTTTTGAATTTGAAGACCTTAAAATATACTTTTTCTGTCAATTTTTCAAAACAAAAAGGAGGTTATCTGCTCCCACATTCCTATTTTAAGGAATAAACAATGGTTGATTGTTATACGGAGGACCATCTTGTAGATTGACAAGCATATACGCCGGACACTTGTAAGTCTTTTTTTCTGGTGTAGCTCTCAACTCATTTTCTTGGTTTAGCATTTGAAGGTTCAAGTTTGTAGATTTCTTGATATGCAAAAGTAAAATTTTTATGGCAATTGAACTCAACTAAGTATAGGAACTATGAAATTGCAGTATTTTATTTTAGCAGAAAGGGATTGCCAGTAGAATTGTTTTCCTTTTATTCCTTCAACCATGCTAGATAGTTTGAACTTTCTCTTTAGATAATTAGCATTTTCTTTAACCCATTTCTTTCCATGCTGCCAAAAACCTACGAAATGTTAGAAAACTATTCTTTGGACTTTGGTTATTTTCTGATATTCTTTTGGACTTCGGTTATTTTCTGATTTTCTTTTGGACTTTGGTTATTTTCTGATTTCCTTTCCCTCAATTATATTTCTGATTCAGTAACGTGACAAGACTTAAATGATAACATATATATACCAAAGGGGCTTATATTGGTGATATTCAAATAAATAATGAGAAAACTAGTTGAGAATGAGTGTTAATTGGCTCAAATAATTGAAACTGATCAGTAGGTCCAGACCAGAGAGTTGACATAGAATGATCTCGTACCGTTGCATGTGGATTGTGGAACTTCTCAACTCGGGCACCAAAGATCCATGTTCATTGTACTGCACGTGCAAGGCACTGCCACACGTAAAAACAGACAGCACCAAGATAATCATGCCGTCCATCCATTAGACCAACATGCCACATGGAAAAATCGTAGTCCACTTTTTTTCAGATTGAGAGTGATCAATGAAATACTTAAACAGATACTCATTTTGTGGATCTCTGCAACTTTATGAGTAACAAGTATGTATGGCAGCCACCAAGAATTTTTGTTTTTTACTTGTATTACAGCATCCCATATTCCCATTGATACCAACCACTTCTGAATCTGTCTATTTTATCATCATGGCATATCACATTATTCGTGAGCCGGTCCCTCACTACATGTCACACAGTATGAAGGCCACATGTTCACAGGAGTCAAATAATTTATACTTTTTTTTTCCATTCATTTATTAATGACATTAATCTTTTTTTCCCATTTTTATTTGTCACCTACTCTAAACCACATTACCACAACTCGTGCTTGTGGGTTCTCTGTATATCACCATGTTTCCACAAATTTCAAGCATGCAGAGTACTCTGCCTTTTAAATTTTGATCTGATGATTGTTGAATTTTATTTCCTAGCTAAGATCCTTGTTAGGGCCAAAGAATTATCAATTCTCAGCCTTTTTCTTTTTCTTCTCTCGAAGAGTCAATCTATTAAAATCAACTGATTATAAACATCTGAATGCTTAAAACAGTGAATTCAAAAAAATAAAAAAAAATAAGCAAGCAAACTTTTGAGCATTAAAAAAAAAGGGGAATTCAATTGTGTTAAGTATTCAAGTGTGACGAGTCACATATTGGTTGGTAATGTACTAAGTGAAGAGTATATAAGTGAAAGGACCCATGAACCCAATGCCTTAAGGTTTTGGGTTGAGATATGGTGTCGGATTCACTTGATATAATGGTATAGGCTTAGCTGATTGGTGGTGGCTCTCACCACAGACTTCCCCCTGGACCGGCCTGATAGGCTTTGGGTTGAGATGTAATGTCGGATCCACTTGGTGCGACTGGTGTAGCTTAGTCCATTGGTGGTAGTCTTCTGCCATGGGCTTCCCCTGAACCCGCATGACAATGGTATCAGAGTTGGATTGGGCTCAAGCTAGCCTAATGATTAACTAGGAGGCGGGTTGAGTATTTTGGGCTTGGATACTCAGTTGAAGGGGAGGATACCAATATTGAATTTCACACCTTGAGAAGGACAAGTGTGATGGAAGTCTCGGGCTCCCCCTGGAGCCGCCACAAATTGTGATTTAGATTTGTGCAAAAGAAACCAATCATCACTGAGTTTTGTTATGGAAGATTATGTTAGGAAAGATTCACTGTTTTCTTATTATCAAGCCAGCTTAACAAGTTGGCATAGTTGTCTGATCATTCTTCTTCAATTCCACATAATAAACAGCTGCTTTTAAGATTTTGATATGCCTAGAGACTTTCCATCAGCAAATATTAATGTATCTCTACCGTATGATTGTTCTGCAATTCTGCTTTTTGGTTCTTTTAATAAAACAAAACAGAAGCGCTATTTCAGGTGTTCCATAAAATACTGCCACAACATATCCTTCCAAATATTAACTTATTCTCCGTAGGCATGGTTTTAGCTACTGTAATTATATATCTTGATAATGTTGATCTCAATCTCATTGACAAATTTTTTCTAGACACTTGGAAATAGTATATGCTAAAATATTATTATCATAAAACCAAAGCATAAGTGGCGGCATAAGCTGACAAGTTTTGAGAATGTGCTTGGATATTTACATGTCTTAGTTAAAGCAAATTTATTTGTTTCATGTGTAAAGTGGCTACTTTAAACAATATCAGAATTCACTTTAGCGTTGAATACAAGTTTTCACATCCCAATCAGTGATTTTAAAAATGCTTCCAATCAATGAAGCCCATAGTGATTGTTGTGTATTACTTTTGATTCTGATCATTAGTGGCATCAAATCAGCAAATGAATTGTTTTATAATGTGATAAGCCTCCTCGTGATGGGAAAAACAACTGGGGATTATGCAAAACATATGCATCTAGGGATGGTGTTGCACAATCAGCTATTTGACTCGGAGAAAAAGAGAAGGTTGGTTGGTTTGATTACAATGACCTCGTTTTTGTCGCAAGTCATTAGCATAATGGTGAGAATTAGAGAAATGTGCACTAATAGTTGATCATATGTATATAACAATATTTATTCCCACTAAACAGTCTTTATTCAATAGTTTTGAAATGTAGCAACTTGTAATTCTTTTCGAAAGCACATTTAATTTTATTGCATGTTGGATTAGTCACGGCTTGCCTCAAACGCAGATTTAGCAATCTGAAATGTGATTAACTAATAATAATGCTTAATTGCTTTTAATTAAAATTAAATTTGTTCTTAAAGATACATTTGATTGAAGTAAATAAATATGAGTTCACTTTTTTACGGTCAATCTATATAACTTATCTATATTGAACCCAAAACGACGTCGTTTTGGAACAGAAATCAAGGTATTTTTGTAATTATAATTTATTTCATGATTATAATAATTTTTCATTATAATTTTTTAATTTTTCAATCCAAAACGACGTAATTTTGAGAGCGAATGTAAATAACTTATCTACATTCACTGTTGAAACATTAAAGCCAATAAATATATATAACTTTTATGTTGGGTTGAGGATTTTATACTAAGCTTTATTATAAACTTACATTTAAAATAAAGGTTTTCAAACATAAATCACTTTACTTTAAGGAAAAAGTGTTTATCCTTTTAAATGACACAACTTATATCCTTTCACTCTCATAAAGAAGTGGGACCCACACCTTTATTTTTTTTGTCAACTCTCGCTCCTCCTTTATCTATCTTCAAATGACACAACTTTACATCCTTTAAAATGACACACACTTTACCTTTACTTTAAACTCATTTTTAACTAAAATCAATTTTATAAAATGAAAATTATCTAAATTTAAGTTTGCAAATCCTTACTCAAACACGCACAAATGTTAAAATTCAACGTTCAGGTTTATCCCACACTTCTTTATGTAATCACTGAGTGGGGTTTATTTTAGATTTTTTTTGCTGATAGTGACGTTCAGCTCATGCAGGTAGGAATTGAAAATGTAATATAAGTAAGAATGCTGCTAATGGAATGACGTTCTGCTCATAGTGGTGGGAATTGAAAATGTAATATCAGTAAGAATAAGAATAGGTAATTTAATATTTTATATTTAAAAATAATCTTACTTTACATAATCTAAACAAAATATTTTTTTTAATCTATCTTTTAAATATTTTTTTAAAATACAGTTAGATTTTTGTGTGTGGATAAATACAGTTACAGTTAGATTATTTTACGCTCAATATAAGTATTTTCATCATCTTTTAAAATTAAGTAATATCAAAACCAAACTAATATGAAGCCATTCCTTTTTGTAAATAAAAAACAAAATGGCTAATTGATTTACAATATCTGACCCGCGCATCAATTTTGTAGTCCATGACGACGATGGATCAACCAAAAAAGTTCACCACTAAGACGCTGGGATAACTCTATTCCTGACTGTATCCGAATAATTCTTTTCACTCACTATAGGTATATACTTATTAGTGGGAGAAAATGAATAACTATTAATCTTGGAAGTATATAGTTATAACGTTAATTTTTTTTTCTCTTTTATGTCAGCAAATAGTTTTTGAAAAGTGATTAAGGAGAGAGAAAAAGAAACAACTTTAATATTATAACTATGTACTCGAGGAGTACATAGTTATAAAGGGTAGTTGTAGATAGGGGTGTTCGCGGTTTGGATTGGATCGGTTTTGGAAGCAAAAATCATCTAATCCAATCCCTTCGGTTTGATCACGTAATCATCCATTCGGTTTGAATTTTTTTTCAAATCCGATCCGATCCAATCCAATTTTTTTCAGTTTGGATTGTATCAGTTTTCGATTTTTTGAAAATCCTAAAATTTGTTTTATGATTATTGTGCAAATAACATCTTTTGTATATATTGGCTTTGTAATTTTTTTTAAAATACAAAAGCATCAATAAAACGATAATATAGTTTTATTTTTATCTTGGGCAATGAGATATGAAGCTCTACACAATAAAATTTTGTTAATGAGATGTGACTAGATTTTTTCTTGAGTTTAGTTGATGGGTTAATGGATTTGAGTTTAGAAATTTTTGGGCTATGAATGGGAAAAAACCCAAGTAGGTAGAGGCGAATTAATATATTGGATCGATTTTCATCAATCGATCCGAAAACCGATCCAATCCAATTAAAATTTGCGGAATTTTTTTCGGTTTTTGGTTTTTCGGTTCGGTTATTGCGGTTTGAATCAGTTTGGATTGGTTGATGAACACCCCTAGTTGTAGATAACTTTATTTAAAGTGGCTGTAGAAATGTTTACCCCATATATATATATATATATATATATATATATATATATATATATATATATATATATATTCTGCAGGCACTTTAGATAAGGTTATTTACAGCTACCATTTTTAACTATGTTCTCCGGGAGAACATAGTTATAACATGAAAGTTATTTTTTTTTCTTCTCAGTTACTTTTCAGAACCTATCTGCTGACGTGGAGAGAGAGAAAAAAGCAACTTTCGTGTTATAACTATGTTCTCCCGGGAGAACATAGTTAAAAATGGTGGCTGTAGATAAGCTTATCTAAAGTGGCTGTAGAAATATTTTTCCATATATATATATATATATATATATATATATATATATATATATATATATATAGGGAGGGTTATATTCATAATCTTTTTGTTTACAAACTCTTACAAATCACTATGTTCTTTCGGGAGAACATAGTGTAATGTTCTCCCGGAAGTACATAGTGTAATTTACAAAAATTTATAAACGGATCATTCCCCTATATATATATATATATATATATATATATATATATATATATATATATATATAATATAATCCTTTGATACCGTGCAAAATTTTGAAATTTGACATTTTAACACCTTAAAAAAATAATAACAATAATATATTTTGGCATCTTTGGAAATATTTTAAAATGATATCTTTGACTAAATAATGACTTTAAAAGATATTTGTAACTATACAAAATATCTTAGATATTTAAGATAACGAATGATTAGTTTTAAATTTTTTTAAAAGGAATGATTAGATTCCTTATATTTTATCTAAAAAAAGAAAGAAATCTGAAACCAACATTATAAATTACCCCATAAAAGAATGGAAGAATATAGAAAGGAGAGAAGGAACGAAAGAAAGAGAAAGAAGAAGAAAGGAAGAGAAAAGTAATATTGGAAGAAAATCTTATTCTCCTATTTTAATTCTTCTTTATCTATTTTATATTTAAAGTTAATATTTTTAAGTTATTTCTTTAAAAGTTATGAATGTGTCGTTATTGCGTCCAAATATATTTTTATGAATCTCTTATACTCTTTTGGTTTATCTTCTATCTTTAATTTTATGGATTTCATTAATTTATTTATATTAGTTATGAGAATGATCTTGAATGTAAACCATATAACTAAGGAGTTCCTTCGATACCAAATGGATATTAACGGAATATGTAATCTTTTACTAAATGATTCTAGTGTGACTGACCCACAAGGCGATCGGAATGGTTATAGGGTAAGGGACGTCTTATCCTGGCTTGAGCTCCGCCGTACATAACCTTTCACATACAGAACTCACAAAATTTGGACGCTCATAAAATTGAGCATTAGTCATTTCAGTTAAGGACTAGATGTTCCTTTATATGTTTGTATAGAGAAACCCACAAAGGTTTGGGTATATTTGTATGTAGAAGTAGAACCACAAAGGTTTAAAAATGTCTGAATAAAGAACTCACAAAGGTTTGAACTTATAATTATTATTCATGATATTATTTTCTTATTATAAACTTATTTTGAGAGAATTATATTTTTCACTAAAAGTGGCTAGATTGGTTATAGTTTAAAAATTCCAATATTACTAAGATTTATCTCATATTTGTTTGTTTTTATACTAACCTTTTCAGAAAATAAACAAGCCAGTATGTGTAGCTTCGGAGTAGGGTAAAACACTATGGTTAAATACATTGAAGACTGTACGAAGCTCAGTGGAGTAACTAATATAATAAAAAAATATTTCTTTTCAGTTTAAATTATTATGTATTTCAGATGTAATAGTGAACTCAATTTGCGACTAATATATAATTAAATTTAAAGAATATTTTATCATATGTCTTAGTTTTTATCCACCTGTTAGAATCTCATTATAATTTTCGTTGTCTTATTTAAAATAACAATTAAGAATTAATGTGATATCCTCTATACTAGCCAGTTATAGAGGATATTACATTTTATGGTATCAGACCACAATGGTTCAGGTCAACAAAAGGCTTAAACTATATGTTGCTTGATATTTTGTCATAGATCATGCATATTTTGAATTATTTAGTATTAAGTCTGACCAACTCACTACCATGAAATAATATATGTAGATTTATGACAAGTACAAGCGAAACATCTAGGCAATGTATATATATATATATATGGGAAATATTTTTCTTATGTTGTAGGAAAGTAGTTACCTCATGTTGTAGAAATAAAATTATAAGTGGGAACCATAGGTAAGAGGAGAGAAAAAAAAGAATGGTGAGACCCAATCCCTTTTTGTGTGTGTAGGAAAGTTGTTTATCTCATCTAAAATGAGATAAACATAACCCTATATATATATATGCAGCAAAAGCGTGCAGGATTACACGTAATTGATCAAAGTTATCCAAAAAAATTTCTAGAAGGTAAATCTAAATTTTGAGGACAAAATTTGATTTAAAGAAGGAAATTGTAGCACCTTAAGAAAAATAATAATAAAAATAATATATTTTGGCATCTTTGAAAATTTAAGGAATCTAATCATTACCTTTATAAATATCTAAGGAATCTAATCATCACGTTTATAAAAATCTAAAGAATCTTATCATTATCTTTATAAAAATCTAAGGAATCTAATTACTACTTTACAAAAATCTTAAAAACTAATCATTACTTTTCTTAAATATCTAAGATATTTTGCTAAATATTTAAGATATTTTATTCTAAATATCTAAGATATTTTATATTTTATTATTATTATTATTATTTTAAAAATATCATTCTCACAAAATAAAATTTATAATAAAAAAATAATATCATAAACAATAAATATAAACCCAGACTTTTGTGGGTTCTTCATTCAACGATTCCCAAACCTTTGTGGATTCTACCCAAACTTTGTGGGTTCTAGATACAAACATATAAAGAAAGTGTAATCTTTAACTGAAATGACTAATGCTCTGTAACACCCCGTAGTACTCCGGTTGTTAACATACATGATATTTAACATTCACAGCGGAAGACTTTATTTGAAAAGGAATAAAGCATCTTATAAAAATACGAGTAAACTTTTTCCAAAACATTTCATAAAAACATTTCTAAAAACGTTCACGTCAGATACTGCGAAAGCGTAAATCTGAATATACATCTTCTAATAAATCCCATGAGCCAGTATTAGTGGCCATTGGCCATCAAGATATGACATCAAGTGTCATTCCTGACGGAGTCTCACGGACAACATAACGGCTGTATTTCGGATAACTAGAAACATGATTCCACACATACAGATAACCTAATTAATACAACAATTTAAACAGATAGCTTGCAAGTCCCACACGGACTGCAATCCCCTTAATGGGTCAATACAACTAATAAGGCTCCATGCCCAAATTAACTGAATACATGCATCAAGTCTATATTAATTCGAAGTATAAAAGTATCAGTAAATAATCCATGGCTCTAAGAATACTATCATGAGCCTAAATAAATACATACAATAATCTCCATAAAATAATTAAGCATGTTAACAAGTCTACATGCCAACATCAAATCTAAACATAATATAAAATCATCAGCTGCATCATCAACTACTCCAATGCGGGGGCCTTGCCCCTAGAAGCATCACCACTACTCTAGGTACCTGAAATGATGTCCCCAAAAGGGGTAAGATAACAACATCTCAGTAAGCTCAAGGTTCATAGAGGATCCTCTAACCCCTGAGCCCACTTCCTGCATAATAAGTCAGATATAAAGCATATAATACAGACATACAGCATAAACATAACATCATCATATCATCCTTGTGTAACCCCAGGGTCAAAGCCATAGACGGTTACACATGTGTGACTTCCAGGGTCAAGCCATAGACAGTCAACACAACCTCAGTATGAAATAGCTCCCAGAGTCAAGTCATAGGCAGCCTACATACCATGATCACTGGCCAGGATCCTCATAACATATATCATCAGTGCATCATCATAACATCAAGATCATATAACATCTATATGAATGTGAATGAATGCACATATACATCATACCATATACTTCCATACAATATAACCATAATGCCCACCATCATGGTGGGGCCACAAGAGAGTATGACCATCTGTCTGCGGGTGATAAGCAGTACTCAATCTCAATTGAGTACCAAAGGCCTCATGTAACGCTTCCCAAAAGCGTGAAGTAAACTTCGGATCCCATCGCTAACTATGCTTTTGGGAATGCCATGAAGCTTCACAATCTCTCTAACATATAGTTTGGCTAGCTGCTCTGTGGAGAAGGTCGTCTTGACTGGAATGAAATGGGCGGATTTAGTCAACCTATCAACCACAACCCATATGGAATCAAATCCAGCCTGGCTTCTTGGTAATCCAACAACAAAGTCCATGGATATACTCATCCACTTCCACTCCGGAATATCTAATGGTTGTAGCAAACCAGAAGGCTTCTGATGCTCAATTTTTACCTTCTGACAGATAAGGCACTTATTCACAAACTGGGCTATGTCTTTCTTCATCCCAGACCACCAAAAATTCTGTTTCAAATCTTGGTGCATCTTAGTTGCACCTGGGTGGATGGTGTACTTACCCATATGACCCTCTGTTAACACTTCTTCTACCATTGGTCCCTTCGGGACAATTAACCGATCTTTGTAGTATTTCACATGAGAAGCATCGGTGAACACAAAATCTTTCTCTTTCATCATTTGGATCCTTTCATCAAGCACTTGGGCCGCTTTAACTTTTTCCATTAACGAATTTCGGACTTCGACCGTAGTCATGAAATATGAAGTCTCAAATGGTGTCACAGAAATTCGCAAATCCCTGAACTCCTCAATCAAATCATACTCTGTAATCATCATGCTAGCCACACCCGTGGTCTTTCTGCTCAAGGCATCAGCCACTACATTCGCCTTTCCAAGGTGATACTGAAGGTCAAACTCATAATCCTTCAGGAATTCCATCTATCTCCTTTGTCTCATATTAAGTTCCTTTTGATCGAATAGATACTTCAAGCTTTTGTGATCACTAAAAACTGTGAAGGTAGCACCATACAAGAAGTGTCTCCATATTTTCAATGCAAAAACCACGACCGCTAACTCAAGATCATAAGTAGGGTAATTCTCTTCATGTGGTCTCAACTGTCTAGAAGCATAGGCCACTACCTTTCGCTCCTGCATCAACACACACCCTAATCCATACTTGGATGCATCACAATAGATCTCAAATCTCTTCTCCGGATCAGGAAGAATCAGAACCGGTGCGGTAGTCAACTTATCTTTTAATTCTTGAAAACTCACATCACACCCAAGGGTCCATGCAAATGGCACCCCTTTTCCGGTCAACCTAGTCAATGGCAAGGCAATTCTGGAGAATCCATTAATAAACCGCCTGCAGTATCCTGCTAAACCCAGAAAACTTCGGATCTCAGTAACACTCTTGGGTCTCTCCCAATCCAACACAGCTTCAATTTTACTCGGATCAACAGCCACTCCTGTAGATGATATGACGTGTCCAAGAAACTGGATCTCATGTAACCAAAACTCACACTTGGATGGTTTGGCATATAACTGATGCTCCCTTAAAATCTGTAGAACTATCTTCAAATGCTCTGCATGTTCTTCCTTACTTTTGGAGTAGATCAGAATATCATCAATGAATACCACAACAAACTGATCTAAATGTGGTTTGAAAATTCGGTTCATATAACTCATGAACACGGTCGGGGCATTAGTAAGCCCAAATGGGATCACTAGATACTCATAGTGCCCATATCTAGATCGGAAAGCCGTCTTCGGAATATCCTCTGCTTTTACCCGAATCTGGTGATATCCAGAACGAAGATCAATCTTTGAGAACACTGAAGCACCCCTGAGCTGATCCAACAGATCATCAATGCGTGGTAGAGGATACTTGTTCTTTACTGTTACCTTGTTTAACTGTCGATAATTAGTGCACAACCTCATAGTCCCATCCTTCTTTTTCACGAAGATGACTGGTGCACCCCAAGGAGATACACTTGGTCTGATAAAGTTCTTGCGGGATAATTCTTCTAACTGCTTCTTCAGCTCAGCTAGCTCCACTGGTGACATCCGGTATGGAGCCAATGAGATAGGCCCCACACCAGGTACTAAGTCAATTGAGAATTCAATCTCCCTCTCAGGTGGAAAATGAGGAATTTCTTCCGGAAATACATCTTCAAACTCGCATACAACCGGAATATTAGCAGTAGGTTCTTTGGAGTCTCCTACGAGTCCTCCCAGGATAATGTATCCTGCATCTCCCTCATTTAGAGCCTTATTTAATTTTTGTGTCGTCAAGTACAAACTGTCCGGTTTTTCTCCTTTTGCAGCAAAGAAAACCCTTCTGCTACAACAATCTAGCATCACACCATATCGGACCAGCCAATCCATACCTAAGATAATGTGTAGATTCATGCCCTCAAGCACTATCAAATCCACCATATACTCTTCTTGCTCATATATGAATCTGACTTCTTTGCACTTCAAGGAAGTAGAAACAATGGGAGTCTTCTTAAACTTGGTGTTCTGCTGTGCTTGCAAACCCTTGCCCTTACCCTTCCAGGGCGTAGTCCTCCCACTGAAGCTCTTTCATGCTGCTTCCTTTCCCCTGGTACGATAGTGCTCCTGAATATTCTGGCATTGCTTGATCAACTCCACAAAATTTCTGGTGCAATGACCCGCCAGTTTGTCTGCTATCATATCATTCAGACCCTTCCTGAATCGAAAGGCCTTGTCTTCTGGAGTGAGGGGAGTTCTACCATAACAAGAATATTTTGCCAAGCGATTTAACTTGCTGAGATATTCATCCACAGTCATGCCTCCCTGTCGGAGGTCTTCAAACTCACTCTTCTTCCTTTCCCTGGCTTCTTCAGGGAAGTACTTTGGCAGAAAATGCCTCTCAAATAATGGCCAAGTAATAACATAACCTTGGCACTCAAGTGGGTTTCTAACATTACTCCACCAGTCAGCAGCATCCCCATGTAACATGTACACCGCATATAGGAGCTTCATGTTGGCATCGCATTCCATAACCTGAAAAATACGCTCCATCTCTTGGAGCCACTCCAATGCTGCAATGGAATCTCTTCCACCTTTGTAGTGAGGTGGGGAATGCTTCCTGAAAGCATTCAGCATACACTCTCTAGTATCCCGGTCAAACCTGGGTGGTATAGCTGATCTATCAACCTCAATAATTGGCTGGCTCACTAGTCCTTCATGGACAGATGCCTCCGCCTCCTGATGGGCCTCTCCTGACCCTTCATGTCCCAGCACAACAGGCTCAAGAATCTGTACGGGACCAGCAGCACGTGCAACCTGCTGCTGCACATGTGGTATAACTGGCGGTGGAGGAGGTGGTGAAGGTGGTGGAGGTCCTCCTCGTACCTCTGTCAACAGTAGTCGGATCATCTCAGCATTGGCCAGCCTATTCTGCGCCATAAGGTCTTCACTGGCCTTTCTTAGCTGCTCTCTATCGCGATCTCTGGCCTCTTCGATTCTTTTCAAATCAGCTTCCCTGGTTTCATTCAGGGTCTGCTGCAATGTTGCTATAGCTGCAACAATAGGATCAGGAGGAGGGATTTGAACTATTCGCCTGGGTCTCCCTCGAGGTGCCATGTCACTACACAAAACTGCACGAGGTATGAGTTAGCTACGCTCAATCAAGTGAAAGCATATGCAATATCATGACACTCAAGAGACACTCAATAAACAGTTCTAACACTTAAGCAATACATCAGTGAACGTCCCGGTGAAATTGCTCTGATACCATAAATGTAACACCCCGTAGTACTCCGGTTGTTAACATACATGATATTTAACATTCACAGCGGAAGACTTTATTTGAAAAGGAATAAAGCATCTTATAAAAATACGAGTAAACTTTTTCCAAAATATTTCATAAAAACATTTCTAAAAACGTTCACGTCAGATACTGCGAAAGCGTAAATCTGAATATACATCTACTAATTAATCCTATGAGCCAGTATTAGTGGCCATTGGCCATCAAGATATGACAACAAGTGTCATTCCTGACGGAGTCTCACGGACAGCATAACGGCTGTATTTCAGATAACTAGAAACATGATTCCACACATACAGATAACCTAATTAATACAACAATTTAAACAGATAGCTTGCAAGTCCCACACGGGCTGCAATCCCCTTAATGAGTCAATACAACTAATAAGGCTCCATGCCCAAATTAACTGAATACATGCATCAAATCTATATTAATTCGAAGTATAAAAGTATCAGTAAATAATCCATGGTTCTAAGAATACTATCATGAGCCTAGATAAATACATACAATAATCTCCATAAAATAATTAAGCATGTTAACAAGTCTACATGCCAACATCAAATCTAAACATAATATAAAATCATCAGCTGCATCATCAACTACTCTAATGCGGGGGCCTTGCCCCTAGAAGCATCACCACTACTCTAGGTACCTGAAATGATATCCCCAAACGGGGTAAGATAACAACATCTCAGTAAGCTCAAGGTTCATAGAGGATCCTCTAACCCCTGAGCCCACTTCCTGCATAACAAGTCAGATATAAAGCATATAATACAGACATACAGCATAAACATAGCATCATCATATCATCCTTGTGTAACCCCAGGGTCAAAGCCATAGACGATTACATATGTGTGACTTCCAGGGTCAAGCCATAGACAGTCAACACAACCTCAGTATGAAATAGCTCCCAGAGTCAAGTCATAGGCAGCCTACATACCATGATCACTGGCCAGGATCCTCATAACATATATCATCAGTGCATCATCATAACATCAAGATCATATAACATCTATATGAATGTGAATGAATGCACGTATACATCATACCATATACTTCCATACAATATAACCATAATGCCCACCATCATGGTGGGGCCACAAGAGAGAGGAGTCAACTAGAACTAGGAGCTTACCTTAGGGAGCTTGCACAAGCCCACACTCCAATATAATACGTATGCTCCAACAAAATCCTCAAGTGCACGGTTCTCTAGGCACACCTAGAGTAGGAACCATTCACATCATTAATTACATATTAATTCATCAAGTCATATCCACGACTTAATCATTTAATGATTCCACTTTTCATACTCATATGCCAATAATATGCCCATTACAAGCCTAGACCAATTATTACTTATTACATATTTTAGTGCATTATTACAAGCCACTTTAATCTTCAATTACTTACATAGCTTAGAATCACATGCAAGGCTCACTTAGATTATTTTCAACTCATCCAAGTCATATTTATGATTATTATAAGTTACTAAGGGTTCCCCTAAGCCCACTTAGCTTAAATATCACTTTTACGTTTTTTCCATAACTGTACATGCTTCTGTTTTCTAGTTACTGGGCGTGACTCACTTGTTATAAAATTCTCATCTTTTAGTATGTTAATCTAGACTCAATTACCTTTCCAAAAAGGTATCATATGCCTCATTTGAAGTTTCCTAGCTCCGGTTATCACCATTTGAAGTTGGACAAACAAAGCTGTTTGCCAACTCCGAACAGGGCCCTAAATATCCTTTACCATTTCTGCGATTATGGAAATTCTACTAAATCAATTGCTCTAAAATTTTTATGTAGACAACTAGACACATTTATATTTAATTAGACATATTATGAGCCTAATTTGAGTAATAATTGAGGGAGAAAAAATTCATGGAAGTTTCAACCATGTACAGCGCCCCTGCACATGCCTCCATGTGCAGTCCTCACTCAAACGAACATATAGAATGGAATATATCTTCAATTGATACCAAATTTTGACACCACGTAGATAACATCTCAATCTTAAATTTGATATAAGGAACATCCCTATATGACCTCTGTGGAGGAAGATATGCTCTCCCCAATTTTGCCTAAAAACTGGTTACTTAGCCTTAAATGTGTTTACTTAACAAACCTTAATTACTTTTGATTATAAATCCTAATTCACATTAATTCTTGGATTTTTCTATTATTAAGTCACATTATGAAATATCCTTAGTCTCATTATGTCATGATACTTAAATTTTACTAATTATTTAATTAGTGTACCTAAACCTTACTTTAGTCCAATTTTAGAGTTAAATCCTTGATTACTTTTGTTAATTAATCTCTACCATTAATTAATCACCTAATTCATCATCTCCTTAATTTTAACACAACTAAACCCTTATGTACTTTATGGGGCAGATTTGATTAGCTATATTAATTAGGATTTTTAGACATTATTAATCATGATTAGTGAGTTTTACTTAGAGTTAACCCACCTGGTTAATCTTTCTAATCATTTTTCCACACTTAACAACTTAATCACATTTTTTTGTCATCAAACCCTATCCTTACATGATATGGCTGAAATGTTCATGGTCCATTTTTGAGTTCATAGTCATCTTTTTACATGAACATCACTCAAAGGTCCAAAGGTGGCACCTTTAGTCATCCAATCCATCATTCTATGGTTCCAAACACACACACACTTAAGAATCATCATCAAACCATGACATTACGAAATTTTAAACAACATTCTCCATTCTGTGAGCGCCCAAATTCTGTGAGTTCTATATGTGAAATGTTTTGTATGGCGGAGCTCAAGTCATGATAAGACGTCCCTTACCCTATAACCATTCTGATCCCCTTGCGGGTTAGTTACATCAGAATCATTCAGTAAAAGATTATATATTTTCCATTAGTATTCATCTGGTACCAAATAAATTCTTTAATTTCTATAAACTTGATTCAAGATCATTCTCATATCTAATATAAGTAAATTCATCAAATTCACAAAGCCAAATATAGAAAATAAAGTAAAAGAGAAGAAATAATTCATAAAATAATTTTGACAGAGTAACGATATCTTTATACCTTTTACAAAAATAACTTTAAAATACCAACTTTCTATATGACCTAGATAAAAACAGAACCAACATAGCTTTCAAAAATATATAAAAATCAACTTTAAAAATAAAGGAGAGACTGAGTTATTTTACTCCAAATATTACCTTCCTTTTTTTTTCTTTCTCTTTCTTTCCTTCGTTCTCTCTCTCTTTTCTTCTTACCCTCAACTTTCTTTGGGGGTGGGGGGTGGGTGAGGTTATATAGAATTTCAAAAAGGAATGTAATTATTACCTTTAATAAAAATATGAGGAATCTAATCATTACTTTTATAAATATCTAAGGAATCTAATAATTACTTTTATAAAAATCTAAGGAATCTAATCATTACTTTTATAAAAAACTTAAAAATTAATCATTAATTTTCTTAAATATCTAAGATATTTTACTCTAAATATCTAAGATATTTTACTCTAAATATCTAAGATATTTTATATTTTATTTATTATTATTATTATTTTGAAATATTACAAGATTCTTAGATTTTTATAAAAATAAATAATTATATTTTTTAGATTTTTATATATATAAAAAAGAAATTAGAAACCAACATTATAAATAATTACTTTTAAGTTTCTTGGGGGGGGGGGGGGTTTATATAGAATTTCAAGAAGGAATGTAATCATTACTTTTAATAAAAATCTAAGGAATATAATCATTACCTTTATAAATATCTAAGGAATCTAATAATTACTTTTACAAAAATCTAAGAAATCTAATCATTACTTTTATAAAAATCTTAAAAATTAATTATTAATTTTCTTAAATATCTAAGATATTTTATTCTAAAATTCTAAGGAATTTTATATTTTACTTATCAATATTACAAGATTTATTAGATTTTTATAAAAATAAATAATTATATTCTTTAGATTTTTATATATATAAAAAAAAAATTAGAAACCAACATTATAAATAATTACTTTTAAGTTTCTTTTTTTTGGGGGGGGGGGGGGGTGTGGTTATTTAGAATTTCAAAAAGGAAATCTAATCATTACTTTTAATAAAAATTTAAGGAATCTAATCATTACGTTTATAAATATCTAAGGAATCTAATAATTGCTTTTATAAAAATCTAAGTAATCTAATCATTACTTTTATAAAAATCTTAAAAATTAATCATTAATTTTCTTAAATATCTAAGATATTTTGCTAAATATCTAAGATATTTTATATTTTATTTATTATTATTATTATTTTGAAATATTACAAGATTTCTTAGATTTTTATAAAAATAACAATTATATTCTTTAGATTTTTATATATAAAAAAAAATAGAAACCAACATTATAAATAATAACCCCCCAAGTTAAAGTCACTTAGAAAAAAATAGAATAGAGAGAGAAGGAATGAAAGAATAGAGAAAGGAAGGAAAGAAAGAGAGAAACAAAATGAGAAATGAAGATAAATGTAATATTGGGAGAAAACATCATTCTCCTATTTTAATTCTTCTTTATCTATTTTACATTTAAAGTTTATATTTTTAAGTTATTTCTTTAAAAGTTATGAAGGTGTCGTTATTCTGTTCGTATTTTTTTTTAAGAATCTCTTCTACTCATTTGGTTTATATGTTATCTTTGATTTTATGGATTTAATTAATTTATTTATATTAGTTATAAGAATGATCTTGAATCTAGACCATAGAACTAAGGAATTCCTTCGATACCAAATGGATATTAGTGAAATATGTAATCTCTTACTGAAGAATTCTGATATGACCGACCCACAAGGGAAGCAGAATTGTTATTAGGTAAGGAACACCTTATCATGACTTGAGCTCCGTCATACAGAACCCACAGAATTTGGACGCTCACAGAATTGAGCATTAGTCATTTCAGTTAGAGACTACATGTTCCTTTATATGCTTGTATGCAGAAACTCATGAAGATTTGTGTATTTTTGTATGTAGAACCCCACAAAGGTTTAGGTATGTCTGAATAAAGAACTCACAAAGGTCTTGGCATATATTTATTATTCATGATATTATTTTTTTATTATAAATATATTTGAGAGAATGATATTTTTCACTAAAGTAGCTAGATTGGTTATAGTGTGAAAATCTCAATATTACCGAGATTTATCTCACGTTTGTTTATTTTTATGCTAACCTTTTCAAGAGAATAAATAGGCCAGTAGCTTTGAAGCAAAGTAAAGTACTATAGTTAAAGATTTTGAAGACCGTACGGAGATCAAAGGAGCAATTGGTAGAATAAAAAATATTTCTTTTTAGTTTAGATTATGATGTTTTTCAGATGCAATTGTGAACTTGATTTCTCTATAACTAAATTTAAATAATATTTTATCGTATGCCTTAGTTCTTATCCATTGTGTTAGAATCTTATTATAATTCTTGTTCTCTTAATTAAAATAAGAATTAATGTGATATCCTCTATGCTAGCCAGTTATAGAGGAGGTTAGTATATCAAATTTCAAATGTTAATTTTTGTAAATCAACGATTATCATTTATTGAAAATTAATAATTAATTAATAAGTTTGATTAGCGGAAATGATAACCGTTGATTTGCGAAAATCAATGGATAGGATTTAGTGTCAAATTTTAAAAGTTGACACTGGTGTCAAAGATCCTGCACACCTTTTTTCTACTGCCTAAAATTTCAGTCATATAAATCATTAGCTATATCAAAATAAAACCATTTAAAATTACAAACCACTGAAAAATTCAAGTCTTCAAACTAAAACAAATCTTAAAACTCATGAAGAGTTAAAATAGATTAGTAGACAATAAAAAATTAAAATAAGATAGTTTGCTATCAATAATATCTAAAATTCCAAGTCTACAAAATAACAATATTCTAAGTCACCATGATCGATTTTCATCAACCAAACCAAAAATCGATCCAATCCAATTAAAATATGCGGATTTTTTTTTTCGATTTATGATTTTTCGATTTGATTAATTTAGTTATTGATTTTTTGGTTCGGTTACCGCGATTTGAATCGGTTTGGACCAAACATATTTTTATGTATGTGTAGAAGATAATTTAATCTCCTTACAACAAGAGAAACATTAAATCCTATTTTTGTACACGATTTTTTCATCTATCAATTGCTATCCTTTTTATTTACCCTTTATTAGCTCTTTCAATAATAATAGAAAAAACTCCTTTTAATCTTTCAAATCAATGCCTAAAATATATGGTACTCGGCAGGCATATTCATTCCTTGCTCTTGCTGTGTAGAATTCATATAGTACAAGCTCTTTATTTCAAAACAGCTGATATCTCATGAGTCACGACTCTCACGAGTATAACAAGTTTGCATGAACTTGGGCTTATTCCATTAGCATTGACGGGCATGTTAGGACTTAGAGTCCCTCCAAACATTCATGCGACAAAAAACTATTTTTGCGGATTCCTCTTGGACGGACAAACATAAGTCTTGACTCGTGAGTCTCACATAAGTTTTATCCAACTTCTGCGGCCTTAATCCAACAAAAAGTAAATGGATAATTCAGATTATTCACAAAAGAAAATTTTGTACATCATTTAAAATACTTAATATGAACTATATACAGGGTGGACCGACGGATAGCAAATTTTCGGTATATTTGATGTACTTATTTTTATACTAAAAAAGGTATAAAAAAAATTCCTTTTAACCCTTGTTTTTTTTTTTTTTTATTTACGGAGTTTGCATTTGTTATTTAACATGACACAACAAAATTTTCGACACACATAACATTTTGTAGGGCTCACACTTTTTGAAGAAAAAAGAAAACTAGCAAAACGAATCTCTATAACATTACACAATCACTTTTCTTACAACATAACTCTTATAAAACCATTTCTTTATATCCCAAATTTTTTTTCTCGATTAGTAAATAAATGTATCGAGTTCGGTACATCCGATGTATTTAAAAAATTTCCCGATGGAGGGGTTATCATGGGCAGCCGCTCCTCCATAAATTTTAATTTATTTTATTTTATATATAAAATAATATTTTCAATAATAATTGGCTATTAGTACTAATAATTAGTTCATTTCTCAAAAATATTTATAATAATTAATGTCTCTAATTAATCTTAATAGGGAAAAGTGTATATCATTTTAAAGGATGTAAAGTTGTATCATTTTAAGTAAGAGAAGAGATAGGTAAAAGAGAAGAGAGAATAGACAAAAAAAATATACCTCTTTGTGAGAGTGAAATGATATAAGTTATGTCATTTAAGAGGACAAACACTTTTTCCATCTTAATAATACGAAAAATACTGTTCATCCAGAATATTTAAGTCTTCATTTGTAAGTCTCTATGAATTACATGAGTTCTATCCAACTAGAGAGTGGACAAAAAAATATAAAAGTCTGAGTCTTATCTCTTTGTAAAAATGAAAGAATATAAGATCTCTTATTTAAAATGGTAAATATTTTTTCCTTATTTAAAATAAGCGAAATATTACTCTCCTTTTGCATAAGATTATTTCTCTCCTACTCTTTCACTTCGATTTCCGCACCTCACCTTTTTTTCTTTTTTCTTGTAATGGTAGGACCCACCCATTTTATCTCTACAACATAAGGTACCTATGTTATGTTGAAGGAGAATAAGAAAACCCTTAAAATAATAAATCTGAACTTGCTTTGTCTCTTTAACTCGCTCAGACGAGTTAAGCAGAGCATTGAAAACTGGGCCATATCTTCCTCTCTTCTCTTCTTTGCCGAGGCAGAGAGAGAGAGAGAAAAAAGGAGTTTCTAGCTTTCTTCGTCAAAATTCCCCATCCAACGAATATATTTCAACTTTACCTTTATTCCCCAATTCGATAACTTTTTTGGTTTTGCCTTCTTTCTTCCTTTTGAATTATTCGTTTTTAAGCAATGTTATAAATTCGCATATTCTTGCTTGCCCATTTGCTCCAAACTATCTTTACCTTCTTGAAACTTCGAAAGCTTCGTTTTTTAACGGAGAAGCTGTTCTGTGTATATTGGTATTTAAGACTTGGAAGGAAATAGCTTGTTTTGGAGCTTAGGATCAATGGATAGAGGAAGGCTGCAAGTGCAAGGTGTTGAATCTGGTTGCAAAGATGTAGTAATATGTAGTTCTGGAATCAAGTTTGGATGGGGTTCACATGGAAGCAATGTTCATCCAACTGGCTTATTTGCAAGCGTTGGTCAAGCTGGGTTTGGAATTGGGATTTCACCAAATCCTCCAACAGCAAATGCTAGAGACAGTGGCACCAAACTTCCATTGGCAAATTCTTCCATGAAGTACGTTATAATGCCTGAAGCCAGTTTTCGAACTACGGGGTTTCAAGGATTGTTGAGTGGTGAGGCGTTTGAAGTTGATGAGGAAGGCCTTGGCATGAAGATGGAAAAAAGAATGAAGGGGTTTAAATTGAAGTTTAAGATAGGGAATCCATCATTGAGAAGGTTGATAAGTGGGGCAATTGCTGGTGCAGTGTCAAGGACTGTAGTGGCACCGTTGGAGACCATAAGGACCCATTTGATGGTGGGGAGTTGTGGAAATAATTCAATTCAAGTGTTTCAATCTATTATGGAATCTGAAGGGTGGAAGGGCTTGTTTAGAGGCAATTTTGTTAACATCATCCGAGTTGCGCCAAGCAAGGCCATTGAGGTGTGTAAACATGATGTTTTTGAATCCTAGATATCATGGTATATGTTACTTTTTTTGGATATTTGACATTGCTAGTTTGCTAGTGACTTAGGACTGGACTTGGATTGTTATGAACCTTTGGTTTCACACACGTGATGACATCAGTTTTATGCCTTAAATAATTTGAGTTTCTTTATACCCTGTTGCTTCGGATTTTTTTTTTCCCTTCATCTTTTCTTTCTCTCAATATCTGATTGGTGGAAATACATATTTGGCAGACAAGTGCACCGTTTATGTCAATTTTTTTTGTTCTGACAGCAGTCTATATTTTGCATATCATTCATTATTTTCGTGCTTCATTGTTGGATTACTTTTGCAGCAGACTCAATACGTGAAAATTGAATATCATGTACCCTGGCACCGAATCATTTGCCAAAAATGAGTTTTGTCTTTGTTGGGTTCAATACCACCCTTTATTCTACTTTGTTCAACTAGGAGTCTAATATTTCATTTTGTAGCCTAAAACTTTATTACATGCCTTAGTGACATCTGGTAGAATACTGCAGTTATTTGCCTATGATACTGTCAAGAAGCAATTATCTCCTGAACCTGGAGAACAGTCAAAAATTCCAATTCCGGCCTCATCAATTGCCGGAGCTGTTGCTGGATTTAGCTCTACCTTATGTACATACCCTCTTGAGCTACTAAAAACTCGTCTTACTGTCCAGGTATGCACTCATAGAGACCCCATGATCTTGCTCTCATTTATGCTCAGAGTGATATAAGTGTATGCCATTACTATAATTGCAGAGAGGGGTGTACAAGAACTTTCTCGATGCATTAGTGAGAATTGTTCAAGAGGAAGGTCCAGCAGAACTATACAGAGGCCTCACCCCTAGCCTAATTGGTGTAATCCCTTATGCTGCTACAAATTATCTTGCTTATGATACACTTAGAAAAGCTTACAAGAAAGCTTTTAATAAGGAGGATGTTGGGAATGTGATGACACTTTTAATAGGATCAGCTGCTGGGGCATTTTCAAGTAGTGCAACATTTCCACTTGAGGTGGCTCGTAAGCATATGCAAGCTGGGGCTCTAAATGGAAGACAATACAGCAACATGCTTCATGCCCTCATGAGTATACTTGAAAAGGAAGGTTTTTTAGGCCTTTATAGAGGTTTGGGACCAAGCTGCTTAAAATTAGTTCCTGCTGCTGGGATTTCTTTCATGTGCTACGAAGCTTGCAAGAGGATACTTGTTGAAAATGAACAAAATTAATAACGATTGGATGACTGCAGATTCTTTCCACAGGATTTGTTGGTATTGTTTTTTGTTTAGGAAGAGAGAACTAATTCGTCCTTCTAATTTTTGGTTTTGCAGATTTTGTTTATCCATATATATTTTACAATTTCGACCAGGGTGTTTCTTTATTGAGTACACAAAAACAGTGATTTTATTCACAATAAATGTCTTTCGTATTTTGTATTTGGTCTTGGCAGAGAATACGCAACTTGTAAGTGAGCTTTATTACTTGTAATAAGTTCGAGATCAGTTACAGCATTATGTACTGTGGCCTTGTATTTAGATTTTGGCCTCTATTTGAATGGAATAATTACTGAGGTATGTTCAGAAGTTAACTGATGGCGCGCTATTATGACATTTATGATATAGTTAGAGATTTTATTTTATTTTTTGTCATCGCTTTACATGTATCAAGAATAATTTAAGCGTCTATTATAAATCGTGCCTAACTAAGAATTACATGAATTGAGGAATTATGTATTTTGGTAAACTGGAGGATTGAAGATTTGTTAAAGGGAATGGCCAGAGGCATAAAAAATCACTCCCGTTAAACCCGACTAGCGAGTATGGGGTGGAGGAAATTCTTATACGTAGTTTTATCCTTGCATAATTACAAAGAGACTATTTCTTGCTTTAATCAAAATTTTGGATCATGCATTGATTATACAGGTAGAAAATTAGAGCAATACATTCACACCGAAAACCTTTACCAGGTCGAAGCAAAGAATCATTGAGAGTTTGAATCCCTCGCTTTCCTTTTGCTCGATAAACGAATTTGTTTATTTTATAGAGATAATGGTGCTTTGAAGTTATTTGCTGTTATTTCAGTGTTCAACATCACTTCATCAGCATCATTTAGGTATTGCGGTGCTAATATTCTTCTAACCATAATCTGGAACCATAAACCCTTTAGATAGAAGACTATCCACGAAAGTTCATCTAACAACGTAGATTATTGAAAGTTAATTTTAACATAATATAATGGCTTAGCAATAAAATATTTGATTTGCTTAAGAGAATGTATTGCTAATTATATGCTTAACATTCCTTACTTAGTGCCTGTTTGGATCCTCTTATTTTTAAGCTAGAAGCTACTTATAAGCATAAGCTAGACCAAACAGGTTTTGGAAAAAACTCTTATAACAAAAAGCTCTTTTTTTTATAATGAAGAAAAGGCTGAAAATTAAAAACTCCTAGGAAGAGCTTTATTTTAAGCTCTTATCTGTTTTTCTTAAATTGTGTGTTTTTTTTAAAATGAAGAGTGATAAAGATAGAGAGAGATAATTTTCTTGAAATATGTGCTTTTAAGTAATTTTTAATCTAAAATTTTTATATAATTTCCAAACAGCTTTTAGCTTCTTTTTTTAAGCTCTTTTTTTTTAGCTTTAGCTTATAAGTAGCTTCTAGCTTAAAAATAAGAGAATCCAAACAGGCTCTTAATTTTTTTTTGAGTAAAAACCCTTTTTAGTCCCTGGCAATATCTACGAAGTCCTTTTCAGTCCCTAGCAATAAAAAAGGACCAAATTGGTCCCTGAAAGTACAAGAAAAGGGCCACTCTACATATTTGGGAGTTGACATAAGGACTAACATGACCCTTTTTTTGTAATTTCAGGGACCAATTTGATCCTTTTTTATTGCCAGGGACTAAAAAGGACTTCGTAGATATTGACATGGACTAAAAAGGGTTTACTCTTCTTTTTTTTATATAGATAACCTAGAGATATCTTCGCACAATCTTGTCTAGCTACTTTATGTTCGAAGTACAGCCGTAGCTCCTTGGAACAAAAAATACATTGAACCACTGGAGTCGATTTCCCTTTGTCCCTGACCAAAATTTAAATCCTTGATCAAAGCAAACTATTGGACACTCACTTACAAATTGAGCTACCTTTGGATTTACTTTCTGAAATTTTGATTAAGGTTGGACATGATTCAATTTTTTGCAATTTCGGTTTTTAAGAACTCATTTAAAATTAATTTTTTCTTATCAGTTATTCAGTTCTGAATCAGAGAGTTTCAGAAGGGCCAGGAAAAAGATGGTAACATGTTTGAAAGGTGAGAAAGTGAATTTTCAAGTTTTCAAATTGTTACAAGAGAAAACATTATCTCATGTAAAAACATAATTAAGTGAATCCCAATATTAAAAAAAAAGAAGTAAAAAAGAACATATATTGGCTTCAATTTCGATGATTTTTAATGAGATAATGCTTTCTCATGTATAACATGGGAAAAACATTATCCTTGTTATAACAATAATAAGGAAGCCTTGATTATGTTGGGAGCAAGCTTCGGAGGGAGACAGTGTCACCAATTCAACACATTGTGTTTTGGCGTTGATGGAGACCCCAAAAACTACTTCCCATTCTGAAGAATTACACTGTGCAGGACAGACCTTGAAGTCTACTAACATTATATTCATATCAAGCAATATGACAACCAGAAAACCAGATACAACAATGCAATCTTTTCCAGCACATAAATTAGCAGCTAAAGCAATGGATACTAAGATACTTTTCCAAATTTAATTTTTCAGTTACGTTTTTTTACAAATATTAACAAAATAAATTAATAATTCACATTAACTAGCAAAAAAGTAAAACGTCAATTACTTTTTATAACATTTTAAATGATAAAAGAGACACTAAATTTCCAATGATGAAAGTATTTTAAATAGTAAATACATCCAGAGCAAGCTTATCCATCCTATTATTTGCTAGACCAAAAAAGTAAGGCTCTGGCAAAAGGAGAAGTCTGCAAATATTAAACTACACAACTTAGATAACTAGCTATTTACTCCTCCACATCACTGTTAATATAGGCATATATATGGTACCGTACCCCTCTATAGCAAAAAGGATGCAGAGAGCGAGATACCAGTCTAATCCCATCCCGTGGGAATAATAGATTCATAACCACATGGCCCATCTTCAACCATCCCACCTCCGTACATATCAGCATTAGCATCAGTGTAATGATAACTGCACGCAGAAACTGTATTCGAGTTATCCAGAGAGGAATCACTGTTAGAGTTTTTGATGTCAAAGGAGGTATCAGTATAAGAGTCCACAGCATGATCTGAATTGCCATAAGTACTGAAGTTGTTGTAATTCTCCACCTCAGGTTCAGTGACATTTCGAAAGTCACGACCACCATAATTGACACCACTGTAGCGCCGAGCTCCACGGCTACAACCACTGGATGATGAACCCTGAGCATACTGGCTGAGCCAAGAAGGAACATCCTGGTTTGCTTCCTGCAAGAGCCCAACAAGATCCTTTGCAAGGGAGATGTTCTTGATGCTGAAGAAGGCAGTGGCTAAACCAGATTTACCAGCACGGCCTGTTCTTCCAATCCTATGCACATAGTCATCAATGTCTCTAGGCAAGTCAAAGTTAATAACATGAGCCACATGCGGGATATCCAACCCTCGAGAAGCAACATCAGTTGCCACTAAAATTGGAGTAGAACCACATTTGAACGATCTTAAAGCTCGTTCCCTCTCCTAAATATACAATGTAGCAAGAAATTGATAAATTTATGAAGATGGGAAAATTGCAATTAAATATTTAAGTATTGACATTCATCTCACGGATACAACCATAGCAAACATTTCCGAACCTGGTCATTATTTTTTGGATTATATCATCAAAATGCATTTGAAGACAACGAAAATCACACAAAATAATAAAGCCTAATTTATTGCAGCAGTAGTCGATGCAGCATAATACACACAGAGGACTCACATCAAGAACACTTAAAAATGAAAGAAATAAACCCAAGGCGGAAGATGCTAACCATTTGAACTTTATCACCATGAATTGCAATAGCTGGAAACCCATTGATCGACAGCCAGTTTTCTAAAGCATCAGCTCCTCTCTTTGTTTCAACAAATACAAGAGTTAGAGCATGCTGCATTGCAAAAAAACAATTACATTAAGTCAATTATCCGACATATAGGAATTAAGAAACAACAGGTATTCGAGATATAAGAATGGCAGATAAAAGCACCATTCATCCCAAAAATGGCTTTTACCTTTCCATTGGCTCCACGTGCCCTTTGACGACTAAGAAGATCCCTAAGATGATTTCTTTTGTCTGTATCCTGTACTTGTTCAATTTTCTGTACAATCAGTTCAGTGCTCGAACCAACCTTTCCAACAGTCAGAAATACGTAGTTCGATAGAAAGTCAGATGCAAGCTTCTGCAAGATTCGACAAACACTGAAGTCTTATTATCAAACATCCCAGACTCAATCAAAACTCAAATGAATGGGACAAATTTCAAATTGGTAAGAACGTAAGACAACCTATGAACCAATTAAAAGAGGCCAATGCATCATCACATACAGACAATGAGAGATTAAATTAAACAATTATTCAAGCACATAGAACACCAATACAAATATCAGCAAACAATCAAGCAGAGGCAATCGTTAATTACCTGTATATCATTCGGGAATGTAGCACTGAAAAGCAATGTCTGTCTAACACCTGGGGGTGGCATGTGCATTTGCTCCACGATTTTGCGAATTTGACGCTCAAAGCCCATGTCCAACATGCGGTCTGCCTCATCCAAGGCAAGATATTTGATCCTTGTTAGTGAAACCTTTTCTCTCTCGATGATATCAACCAAGCGCCCAGGTGTTGCAACCAAAATATCAACACCTTTCTCTAAATTGCGTAGCTGTTTGGAGTTTCAAACAATGAATTGCAATCAACACCATAACCACTGATTCGTTTATTAAAAACAAAACAGGAGAAAAAATAACAGAACACCCACCATGTACAGGGGCATATTACGCAAATTACACGCATACAAGTAAAAATAATGAACTACAGAGGATTGGATGATAAAAAAAAGCATTATGACACAGTGAACCAGAATAGAATAATGATTCCAGTAAAAGGACCGTGGAGTGACCAAGGGTAAGTGAAGAACACAAATTCTTATACTAGAAAAGGACTACTATGTATGAATTGTGAAAGTTATAACTTAAAAACCAGTATAAAAGATAGAGCATGCGAAGTTGAACCTGCTGACCAATGGAAGCCCCACCATAAGCAACCACAACCTTCACTCCTGTTTGATAAGCAAACTTTTTCACTTCATCATGTATCTAACAAAATTTTTTTTATACAAAACCAAAAAAGCTGTAAGCAAATTTTTTTTCCCAACAAAAAACCCAAAACAGAATTAATCACAAGACAGATGAAGAAGAAACAATAAACCTGGCACGATAACTCCCTAGTAGGAGACAGAATAAGCGCTGTAGGATATGCAACCATAGCACCACGACGAGGCATTGACGAAAACCCAAAAGCGGAACGACCCTTCAAAATCCCTGATATTATTGGAAAACAAAACGCCGCCGTTTTGCCTGACCCAGTTTGCGCACACGCCATCAAGTCGCGACCTGCAATGGCAATGGGTATTGCATGACGCTGAATCGGCGTGGGTTTCACGTACTTGCACCGCTCGATATTCTTCTTCAAATCCTCGTCCAACTCCGTTTCCGCGAATCCATTCGCCGGCGGAGGCACGTCCTCGCCACTCGCCTCCACCGGGACCGATTCGTACGCATCAAAATTGATAACGCCGCCATTCTCCACCGGCGGAGTCACGTCCTCAAACTCGTCGAACGGGATCCGGTTGTTCCGGTAAGAAGACTCGTATCCGCTTGGTTCTTCAGGGCGAGAAAACAACCCGCCACGGCCACGGCCACGACCCCGGCCGCCGCGGCCGCGTGGCCGGGAAGCAGAACCGTTAAACCCGTAGTGGGTTGACTCGTCGGAAGCAGAAAACCCATTGTTAGCGCGGTGTGGAGGGACGTAACGGGGGCGAGGGGAGCGAGTTGGCTTGTGAGATGACTCGGTAGCAGCATCTGACCATGCCATGGTTTAAGGTTAGTTTATATTGAAAGCAGAAGAAAACAAGAGAGAGATAGAGACAAGAATGAACGTTAGAGAGAAAGAGAGAGAGAGTTTTGTGAAGAAGAACAATGAGTGTTTATATAGTATGAGTATAATAGTGACCCCGAAAACGGGTCGGGTTCAGAGAAGAGAGAGAGAGAGTAATGGTTGCTGTTGTTCATTCCCCATTAAAGCTGAAAAAACCTTTACAACAACTGAGAGAGGAGAGAGAGAAACCAAATCAGCAAAAGCATAATGTCTCACGTGAAATATCTTTTCATGGTGGGACCCAAAATGAAACGTGGCAATAGTGGATTGGTTGAAAAGCTGAACGAGAATTAAATGTTGGGGCGTAGTGGGATGAATGCGTGATGGTAACCCCAAGTCCCAACCAGAAAGTCAGTAGTAACTAGTAAATAGTAATGCCTCCTCAGTCACTAACTTCGAATTCTTTGTGGTATGTTATTCGTAACAGCATGCGGCGATTTCATTTTCAGTTGTGCTCCCTCTTTATTTTTCCTAGTTCCTTCCTAACGAACTAAATTTATTCTATCTGCATTTGGTTCGTTTATTCAAGCGAATAAACACCAGCTGTGTTATTATTTCAAGGAAAATATATTAGAAAAAATATCTCATATAATATATAAAAAAATGAATGAAATTCATTAAAAAAAAAAAAAACAGATCTCATTTACTTTTTTGAAATAAATTTAATTCATATAATATGAGAAATATTTTTTTTTTTTTGAAGTATTTTAATCGATTCATCAGTTCATGATTAGAAGGATCGAACACTATTTCTCTTATTTTAAAATCTCAAGAAGTTTAAAGTTTTTTAATATAATTTTAAATTGAATTAAAAAATAAACACACTTATATTTTATTACTTTAATAATAAAACAAATAAAATATTCTTTAAAATTCATAGTCTCTTTCTTACTTTTTTTTTTTTTTATGGAAGGTAAGAAAGATGTTAAAATAAAAAAATGATATGCAAAAAACTATTTCGCCCACACAATAGGGCCAATAAGAATGTAATAATGTGTGTTTACCAACAAAAAAAAAAAAGAATGTTATAATGTGTAAAAATGTGGTAAATGGTTAAGATTAAGAATGTAGCAATAAACAAACAACAAGTAGCCTTTTAACGGTTTCATTGTTTTTTTTTTTTTTCAGAAGTAGAAGGTTATATTAAGTCAGAAATGTGATTTACATTCTTGGAAATTTTTTTAGTATTATTGTAGTATTAAAGACATTGTGCACCACTTCCTGTTTGAAAATAATGACACCCTACTTACTAAAAAAATAATAATGATACACTTAATACATTAAATCTCCTCATCATATATGATGATTAATGGGGAAAGTTATATTTATAAATTTTATATTTACAAACTCTTACAAATTACACTATGTCTCACCAGTCATATTTAGTATAGTTTGTAAGTTTATAAGAAAAAAAGTTTGTAAATATGATATTTTCCATGATTAATAACACTTAAATTTTATTTATTTTATTTTTATTTAAAAAATGTATTATAAAAATAATGTAGATTCACAATTTGCAAGGAATATATTTCAACCCATGGACTATAAAATAGGGAAAGGAACGTTTGACGTCTAGCAAATAAATTTGGGAAATCATAACCATATAAAAGTGGGTGAAAACATTAAATATTAGGGAATCATAATTAATCAACGGTGTAAAATTTATTATTGGATGTCCAGTAGCCGGAGAAATAATTTTACCATATATATATAATTTATTGTTTCTCCATCAATATGTGATAAAATTTTCTCCATCAATTTCAAAATTACGTTGTTTTGGAAATTAAGAAAATTAATGAAGGGTGTTAAAATTCATATGACGTATGTGTTCGATCCTCCCCGGTACCACATTTGGGAGAGATTTAAAGCCTTAATGCTGAATTTGCCCCAAATTGAACAAGTCGCGAAATGATGAACTGAATGAAATATTTTCAAAAAAATAATAAAAAAGTTCATATAACAAAAATTAAATTAAATTTCTTTAAAATCCTTTATTAATTATCTCAATCCCAAAATGACGTAATTTTGAGATTAATAGAGATAACTTTATCTCATTGCGATGGAGAAATAATAAACACACACACACATATATATATTGCATTCTATCTTCTTAATCATATAATTCTAAGAGCCCGTTTGTTTTGCCTTTCAAAAAAAAGTAATTTTTATCTCTTCCTTATTTTAAAAATGCTCTTTACTAAAGTTAAAGTTATTTATATTTTTATAAAAATATTTAGTTTTTGAAAAAAATATTTAACTTTTGACTTCTGCTTTTTTTAGAGGTTAAAATTTTTAGCTTCTAAAAAAAGTAAGTTTTTGACTTTTTTGTAATTTCTGTTTTTTTTTTTAAATGAGACATTCAAACGAACTTAAAGCGAGAAGTGTTTTTTTTCTTGAAAAAAAATAGCTTTTGAAAAAAAAAAAAAATCCATCCATCCAAACGAGCTCTGAATGAAAAGAACACCTTCGGAACAACTTCCATAGAAATATTAAGGATCACGTATATGCTTGAAAAGTGGGCATTTTTACCTTCGTATTTTCGAGTAGCCACTTTTTTTTTCCTTATACAGCCTCTGTTCTTGAATTTGATGATAGTAAAGAGCATAAGACTTACCAGACAAATTCATTCAGGGAAGTCTATGATGATGTTTGGAGCTCAAGCTACTAGCTATTTCCAGGTAAAAACCACTTCTAATAAACAGGACCGAAAGTTCACGTGGGTAGAGTTTTACTTAGGGTGTGCAAAAAAACTGGTTCACTTGCTCTTCTCTTGATCCGACCTTGACCCGACCCAAAAATATCCATATTTTTTGAACTGGTTTAAGTACTGACCCACTTTTATTTGGGTCAGTTTTAGACCTGATTCGTTTTAATATTGACCCACTGACCCAAATTTTGACCCATACCCATTATGTGAAATCCAATTACATTAAAAGAAAATTTTTAACGTAAAACAATTACGTCAAAATTTTTTATGGAAAATATTTTCAAAAAAAATTTCGCAAAAATTTTTGACAAAAAATATTTTCATCAAAAATTGTGACTAAAAATATATCGGTAAAAAAATTTGATGGAATATTTTTTTTGTCAAATTTTTTTACAGAATCTAAATTTCGTCAAAATATTTCACAAAAAAATATATTCATAAAAACTTTCGACGAAACACATTTTCATAGAAATTCTTTGACGGAAAAAAATTTCATCAAAATTCTTTACAGATTTCAAATTTCGGCAAAAGTTTTCGACGGAAACATTTTCGTTAAACTTTTTGACAAAAAAAAATTTCGTCGAAATTTTTAGCGAAACACATTTCTATCAAAAAATTTCGACTAAATATTTTCGTCAAGTTTTTTGAAAAAGAATATATCCATCAAAAATTTCAACGAAACACATTTCTGTAAAAAAAATTCGTAAATTTTTTTGACAAAAATATTTCGATAAGAAATTTTGACAGAAAAAATATTTTGTCTAAATTCTTTAGAGAATCTAAATTTCGTCGAAAGTTTCAAATGAAACATTTTCCATTGAAAATTTCGACGAAACACATTTTCATCAAAAACTTTCGACGGCAAAAATTTTCTTTAAAATTCTTTACAGATTTCAAATTTCGGCGAAAGTTTTCGACAGAAATATTTTCGTCATCAAAAAATTATGGCGGCAAAAAATGTTATCAAAATTCTTTACAGATTTCAAATTTTCGCGAAAGTTTTCGACGAAAATATTTTCGTCATCAAAAAATTTTGACGGCAAAAAATTTCATCAAATTTTTTTACAGATTTCAGATTTCAAATTTCGGCGAAAATTTTCGACGGAAGTATTTTCGTCATCAAAAAATTTGACGGCAAAAAATTTCATCAAAATTCTTTATCGATTTCAAATTTTGGCGAAAGTTTTCGACGGAAACATTTTCGTCATCAAAAAATTTTGATGGCAAAAAAATTCATCAAAATTCTTTAAAGATTTCAAATTTCGGCGAAAGTTTTCGACGAAAAAATTTTCGTTAAATTTTTTGACAGAAAAATTTTCGTCGAAATTTTTAGCGAAACACATTTCCATCGAAAATTTTCAACTAAATATTTTCGTCAAGTTTTTTGATAAAAAATTTCCATCAAAATTTTCAACGAAACACATTTCTAAAAAAAAATTCCGTAAACTTTTTTTGACAAAAAAAATTTTTGACGAACAAAATATTCTGTCAAAATTCTTTAAAGAATCTAAATTTCGTCGAAAGTTTCAATTGAAACATTTCCCTCGAAATAATTCCCGTCAAAATTTTCATCAGAACACATTCCTATCGAAATTTTGAACGAAAAACATTCCGTCAAATTTTTTGACAAAATTCTTTTTTCGTTTAAAACATTTGATGGAAGAAATCATTTTCGTCAAACTTTTGACGGAAACTAAATTTCAATAGAAAAAAAATTTTGTAAAAATTTCGACGAAAAAATAATTTTGTGACGAAATTTTCGTCTTTTGCAACGTAAAATTTTCGATAAAATTTTGTGAGAAAACCAAGTCAAAAACGGGTCAGGTCAGATTTGACCCAGTTCAGAAACCAAGTCAGGACAGATCCAAAC